GATGCACATCTTCAAAACATTTCTTCTTTCAGTGCTCTGTATCATCTTTTGCATAAACTTATTTTTAGAAAGACCTGGGTCGACAAAGACACTGAGCAAATTAGATGCCTTAGCTATTTTTACATTGCAAAAAGTACAACCACCAAACGTTTGGTGCAGTTTTTCATTTATGGCACAGGATAAATGAAGGAATTAAGACTTTCAAAGGGTATCTACAATTTCTGATCATAGGGACAAGTAGGCATGGCCCAGGATTTGCAAACGTCTGACAAGTTACCATGCTGCTCTTTCTTATAAACTGTAATTGGTTTTGGACAACATCGTACCTCCAGTTAAACTTCACTACCTGCAGGATTTAACCTCCAAGAGCAGAGCTGGAATTTGCCTGAAAGCTTTTAGCACTTTCATGATACCTTCATAGGCCCTATACCCTGCATAGTAACAGCACCTGTCTTTGCCTGTCCTTGTTTTCCCCTCCCTTCTTGCTTCCCTTTGGCTACTACTTTCTTGTTCATCTTTAATGCTTTATTTTTCCTTTTGATACTTAATTCAGTAACCTCTCCCACTTTAGTAACCAGCACAGCAGTAGTAGCATAATATATAATCACACCTTGCTTGGTTTGGTCTTTTTTTCTTCTTTTAATTGTAGACAAGATTGTCCTCTCTATCTATCTCATGCATATCATTTCATTACTGCTCTTGCATCTGTCTTAATTTATCATTTCAAAGTTACAAAGGAAATGACCTACCATGTCTGGCAGGTGATGCTGTTCCCAGAGAATTTCTGATAACGTGGTATAACAGGAGTGATGTAAAATGTGCTGTTGCTGCCTATTGAGAGCAAGTCATTAACTTGAATCCAGATTCTCTGTGATTTAATCCAAAGCCCTACACCGATGCCAGAAGAGAGTTTTAAGAAAGATTAAAATATGTACAGGTATCCATGAACAGCAAGACTTTACCAGTCCCTTGGAAAAGCTTTAGCTCTGCTGTATGTTCCGGAGTATGGGCTCAAAGCTATTTAAGTGCACGTACGTGAACTACTGGCGCCGCATGTGCGAACTGCGTGTGTGACTGACTGAGAACTCGAGAAGTCACCTCAGGTCCTGGCATCACAAGAATAAAAACTGTACCCAAAGGATGGGGGAAAAGCAGCCTGGCTGAAAAGGAATGTGTGTTCGCATACTGTCTGGACCGCACCTAAAGGAAGGGTGAAGTGCCAAGTCTTTTTCACTGAACTGTGGTCTTCCAATCTAAGGAATTTACAAAACTAAACTCCCTCATGGGTGATCACACGCTCATGCCATCTCTGCCCAGGTGCATTGCCTACCATATATGCAGAACTTAGTACAGGTTTTCCTTGGTAATTCATTCTTAAAAAAATGCCTGAAGACAGAAAAGATAGTTACACAATGTGATCGTCAAGTGGAAGATGGCAGTCAGATGGAGGCCTTCTCCACTAATCTGAGTAAGAAACTTGAAGTTACAATTGCAGGAAATCTATATAAAGTATCCAGATATCCTCCAGACATCTGTATGAATGGTTCTCCATGAGGCTCTCTGGGCATTTAACTTCTAATACTGCAGCTCCTCTCTGAATTCTTGGAATTTTCAAAAACAAATTGACAGCACCTTAAAAATAAACACTGCTTTATTTGCCAGATTTAGATCTTCTTAAATGTACATATATAAGTTAGCTGAATGCAATGTTTAAAAAATTTATTTCAACATTAGTGTATCATATATATCAGCAACGTACTTAGACAAAAGTGCCACTCAGATTACATGACAGTACAAGTCAAAACAAGCGGTATACGTAGAACAGTAGGAAAGTCCATCTATTTCACTCCGTTCTGTTGTCTCAAACTGATAGTATTACATCAAAAAGTAAAAGCATAGTAACAAAATCTTCTAGAAAAAACAGCATAGTGTCCTATAGTAGCACTCTTATTTTGCAGTCATTTGCTTAGAACATACCACACTAAATCCTTCCAAGGTAAAAATACTAAATTTTAATTGGAAAAAAAATTAAAAATCCCTGATTGTATTACACTTGAAAGGCCAATTTTCTTTTTGTAACTAATGAAGCAATCTACTGTTGCTTAAATTACAGTAGTTCCAACTCAGAACTATCTTCACTTTGGTTAAAGGACACTTTTAGATACTTATATTAAACGCATCAAAATCAAATATTCCAACAGTAAGAATAAGCACATCTCCAAACTCTCTTATTTTCATCACTTTTCAAGAACACTTCAGGAAATGCATATGCATGTGGACCATTATAATCCTAATCATATTAATAATCTTTTGTTTGTCAAAACACTGCTTGATGACAAGTAAAGGCAAACTATTATTGAAAGAGGCGTTAGACTTATTTTGTTATGTGACATTAGCTCTTAACATGACAACACATTCTCTTTTCAACAGTTTCTATATACGAAGAAGTAATGCTATGAAGTGTAATGATACATTTTTATATATATATTTCTTTTTAAATAAGCTGATCCCAAATTTTTTTTCCACTTTTTATTGTATGATACAACATACGCAAAACATCTGTTTGTACAGCATTAAATAGGAAGTGATCTCAAAAAATACGTTTGAAAGAAGCAAGAAGTAGGGGTCAAAACATCACTTCAAATTCAGGGTCTGCATGCAGGGCTTCTGCATATCAGTGCTGTATCCCAAACTATGGTATTTTCTTGTTGTCCTCCATCTCGCTTTTAAATAGTATAATTCATTCACAATACATCTATTTTCCTGACATTTTTTCAAGTGTAGTATATTAGGACACTTTATTACAGGACCTGAGGAAACCAATGTTCCATGAGCAGGAATAGTGCATCTAATGCTGAATTTTCAAATCTGTTTTCAGCTTCAATCAGATTGTACATTTTGCATAGAAATATCATTTTGCATCTCATCACCTTACCATTTGAAGCAATTGTTTGCATTGCTAACCATAACAAAACCATGGAATCCAAATTAAGCAGTTTAGTTAACAGTATATGTGTAAGAAGCAGCAAAGTGCGTGTCATTGTGTAAATTCTGGTGTCGCATATATAATCGTGGTGACTGATACTCTTTCTTTGGCTTATACATTAAGCAGCAGAGCTAATTTATTCAGATTTAAGCTCTTCAAATATATCTGAATATTCAAGAACATGGCCAGTTCGTCACGAACATGAATTGCCAATAGGCTTGATTTATCAAGCAAACTTACAGAACCAAGCTGAATAACTTACAGTAACGAGAAATGTACATCTGCTTCAACTCTGACTGGCAGCCAAACCATGTGATGTTTGTTCGAGGTAGGCACTTCAATGTTAAAACTTTTGCTAACAATGACGGTTCCACCCAAGCCATTGATTTAAAACTCTGTTAAAACATTAAGGTTACTAGCCAAGTATTCCAAGACGTAGGCTAGGTCTGCTAAAACAAAATACACAAACCTTAAGTTGTAGATCTAGTAAACAGTACATCATTTGGCTGATATGGAATACAAATGTATTTTTTTTTTTTGTGTATACTTGCAAGGAAGTATAACTTTCAAAGTGCAAATATAGTAAAATTTCTCACGTCTCTAGCTAGTGTACTTCAGCAAGAGCAAACTCAAACAGTCTGGTGCTACTTTACCTAAGCAGTCTAGGTATGAACTGCTCTGTGAACGGCAGCAGCACTAACACACACAGGCGTGCCAAGGCAGGCGTGGTTCGACTAACACTGTACAGCTACATGTGCAGGTTCACAGTATCAGGATGCCTGCAAGCACACTTTGGAAAAACGCATTTCTCCATAGCGATCATTTTCACATCTTTCGCCAAACGCAAATAAACAAGGCACTAAGCATGGAAGTGTTGATATGTTTTAAATATACAGCAAAATCATAAAAAAGCCTAACTGCTTCAAATTATAAAATGAGGGCACATTCATAAACAGCTGGTAGCTACTTTGCACAAGTAGTTATTATATATTTATACACTCGGTAACTTTGTAGAAAAGCCCCATGACAAAACAGAAAAAACAAACCCAAACTAAACCACCCCCTCACACACACTCCTATGTGTAAGGACAGTAACAACATAAACATAGATTATTTGGCATGCTTAAAACCTCTTGAATACAAATCCATGTACAAGCCATCCAGCTAGATCAGTTAGCAGGGTGGCCCAGCTCCCAATCCACTGTACTCTCCAGCCTTACTCCATAGTATGACTTGAGTACAGACACACAGCTTGAGCCCTTTGCTGGCATTCACAGAGAATCCAAACAAAGGAGCAGCTTTGGCCAAAACCAGCATCAAGCATGATTTTCCAATGGCAGTTTGTGAGATCGAGAAATAAATTAACTGTATTTCTCCAAAATGCGTATGTCTTCAAAAAAACACTGTCATTAGATGATTCCACAATATTGGCATTTAAAAAGCAAACTCTTTGGCAGATGATATCTTTACGAAAATAAGTTATGGAGTTTTTTCCCTTCATTAGTATGCATTAACTGAATTCTGTGCCTATAAATAATTCCAAGTGGAATTAAGCCAATATATCTTTAAAAATAAATTCCTTCTAAAAATATATATAGAAGTTCAAAGCTGCAAACAAATGTTTCATAAGACATAGTGGATACAAAAAGCCCCAAACCCTAACCCTTTTATCAGGAGCGTTCTCCTATTTAAATGATCGTGTCATAAAAATAGTAATTCTCAGTATTTTCCACAGCAGGAGTCCTCTACGATATCGTTTTCATTCAGCTGGGATACAGCCTGGAACTTTGCATTTAGCAGCAGGGGCAGGGCTTGGTGGTAATGACCTTATATCCTGTGAGCCCTTTGAGGGTAACAGTCCCTATATCGGCAATCCAAATTCTAGGGTTACAAGATTACGCTTATTATTCAAAGTGATGGGTAAATAGAAAACAGTGCTGAAGTCATACAGTTAAGTAGATTTACTAAACCTAGAATGCTCAGTAAGACTTTTAAAGAAAAGTCTAAAATCTTTGGACCGAAAGCAAAGGGTTGAAACTGTCTTATAGCTTTCAACACGATGCATACTGAGCAAATCACAGATAAAAAAGCTAAAATGAGTTAAATCCCGAACAGTTGTTTTTTCAACTACATTGCTCTGGATAATTCCATTCTCCCTTCCGTGGCGATGAACTCCTTTTCCGTGGCTTGTTTGTCACCTTGACACAGTCTCTCCTTCAGTTTTTCAAGTTCATACTCATGCAGGATTTTCTGTGTTAGATACTTTTCACGTTTTATTTTGGCTTTCACATCTGCAGGGACATCAGGAATCATCCATGCTACAAAGAATTTGACGATGAATACAACATGCTGCAAAATAAAGGAAGCCAGGAGAAATGTAACAACTCATTACCGCAGCAAACAACTATTGTTTTAGCTAACACCAAATAGATCACTTCTTTTTTTGTTCACAAAACAGAATACATTTCATTTGGCTGTCCTGAAACAAGACGTAAGCTAATGCGTAGCAGAGATGTGCACAAAGATTAAAACACTTTCTTTTCTGCAGAAACTTTAATTCCAAGCCATTTGTGAATTTGCAAACTCAGGAGCAAAGTGTCCCATTCTGAATCCCTAGCACCACTTCCTAATACCTCTGTGTGGTTTCCTAGAAAATCCACGTGGCCATGCTGATAATGCTCAGCTATTGAGAACTGATGAGATACAGTAGGAAAAGTGATGAGAAGAGCACTTTAACAACTCCCTTTTCCCTTCAGAACTTGCAAGACAGTGGCTCAATAGTGAAGTGCCAGTTATTCAAGTTATTGATTTAGCTATATTTAGCCACTATACATCATTGCAAAATGCTTTCTGGATTTTTGAATACAGTCATCTCCCATACAGCTCTAATGAAACCAGCAGGAGTGAAAGTGCTAGTCCCGGTGGGTCACATCTCTTCCATCTGCATAAAGACCTTTTTTATTCTGCTGTATTATTTTGATCAAATTTAGCAGTCTCCTCAGCTATTTTCACTGTTCTTACTCTGAGGTTAACTCCCTGAAGTTAAAAGACCTAGTTATGGTAATCATTTAGGACATGAGTATTTGGTATTACTTCGGGAAGAAACTATTTTATACTCTCAGCAATTCCATTTTCTGTAACATTAGTAACTACCTAGAGAATCTATCAGGTACCAATTTTTGAAGGAAATTTTGTAAGGAACATACCTCCATAATAATTATAAAGGCCAGCTTTGCAGCAAGAATGTGCCAGAACTGCATAGTGTGTAAATATTTCCTCTCATGATCTGGAGGATATCGATAGTCTCTGTACCTGTTGGATAGAAAGACATGCGAAGGTGAAATGTCATATTCAGTCTGAGACAGACTACAAGCTCGGTGACACTTACAGGCAAATACAGCTGTCACTTAAGGAACCTTTTACATCTTGTTTTAAATGGTCTGTTTCCTTTTGCAGAAAAAAAGGTTGCCTCTCAATTTGTTCCTGTCTTACGTTTGCTTAAACACCCTCACATTCAGGGCAACAGAGCAAAGAGGAGGAGGTGTGAGAAGTGAAATTTTGTACCTGGGTTACTTCTATTTTCATGCAACGATCAAATAATACAGGACAGAGTGATGGAATGTATCACACAGTAAGGGACAAGCGTTGAATAAATGTGCCAGATGTTGACGGATTTTGTACTGGACAGATGCAGGGTTTAATGGAAGGACAGCCTTCAGTATGTGTTCCACTCTCATGTGTACAAGTAGGAAAGAGACTCCTGGGGCTTTACAGCTACAACATGACACAAATGTAGCTGCCTCTTAAAACATTGGGAGTTTTTTGTTTGGTCCGTCTGTTCTGGGGTTTATTTTGCATCAAATCAAGTACTTTTCTTTTACCATGGACTTCTCCAAAGTTCTTTCGCTATTCTTCTAGAGCCTCCAATGCTGCTTCTAGCAAGAAAGGACTATTTTTTTAATGAAAGCAGGATGGCCCAGATCATTGGTGGTATCTAGCACAATAACGATTAACTTTAAATACCATATCTCATTTTCAGCTTTGCAATCTCAACATCCCCTTAACGATACTTCCTCCTCCACTTAAGCACTGCAGCCTTCGAAAATATAGGCTGAAATTTGTAATCTTAGGGACATCAATCTCCTTCATCACTCCAAAATCAATAGTTTATTTAAGTAAAAACCCAAAACCAACCAAAAAAACCAATAGCAATGAGACTCTCTTAAACAAAAAGGTGGCTTTTTTCATTATCTCTTCCCGTCTCAAACACTGCCCTGTTAATAGCTTAACTATCACCTCACACTTTCAGAATGATGAGAACGATATAATTTAATTTCTAGTGGACTACTTAGAGCTGCATTGACTTTTTATGCTGTATTCTAAACAAAGTGATAAAATATTTATTATTACACCAACCTGCATATGACAAAGTTTTCCGGATTCAGTTTAGGCTTGTTTCTGTCAGGAAAATCTGAGATTTGAAACACCGACAAACTATTGTTTATGTATCCAGACATAGGCGAGTCTTCGTTTTCAGAATAAGCATAGTAGTAAACTAAACGAGGAATCATATCTGATGTGAATGCAACAATAAAAGCCTGAAAAAGAAATTGGAAAAAGAAATTAAGGAAGTGGCACACAAAACTTGTGAGAAGATTCATAAAGGGGTTTTGTTACTGTGACTCTGTGGCATAATCAGGATCTTTTAAGCAAGGATGAGCGTGACTAGGGATCTTTACGTCAGCAAAGATGCTGACTGCAGCCTCTGCTGCAAGGACCAGCTAATTTTAAACACTCAGTGAACAAAATACGTGGACAGTTCTTACAAGAGGCACCAAATCCCAAATATCCCCCCGCACCAAACCATCTTCTGTCCATCAGTGATAACAGTCACTCCTCAGTGAAAGGGGAGGTGTGGGTCTGAATTCTTGGGAGAAAGGATGAACTCAAATCCAGTGTGTGATCTCTACATTACTTTATAGAAGAAGAGGAGCCATTTTCTCCAGTTGTATTTAAAAAGGAAACAATGGCTACCAGCACGTTTTGCCTTGAAATCTGAGACACTTAAAATGCCCAGGTACCTTGCTAATTAGGCAATAGCTGCAAGTGGTTTTCTTGCCCAAGACATTTGTAGGTCTGATACTGTTTACTATTCTGTATTAAAAAGAGACAACTTTTTTGTTCAGCAGTCTGCTTTACATTATTTTTAAGATGAAATACTAGCATAGCATTTAGTTTCCAGTTCATATATTCTGAGCCACTGCCCCCACAGGAGCATCCAGAAGCAGTTCAACGAGCAGAATTCCCACAGAACAGGCCTCATAACGACAAGACAGAAATGTCATCTGGCCGACAGAATGAATCCACCTCTCCTGGCCCCTACGGTCCCCTCCAGGCAATCAGTGTGCCTCAGCCTGAACTTCAGCCAGGCTTATTCCATTCCAAAACACTGGAAAAAACTGACAAGTGAACGAAAGTTTTTAGTCCAGTGACATGTGGATTTGGAGCTGCATGTCATCAACATCTGGACAAGCTGAACCACCCAAATGGCTTGACCATATCTCCGTAGGGTAGAATGTGATAAAGCAAATACTGTCGATGAAAGAGAAAAAGCATCAAGTGATTTTTAAATCTGCAACTTCTGAATACATGGAAGAATCAAATTTGACGTAGCACAGTTAACGTACTTACATTAGTGACAACAGATAAGATGGCCATCCCGTTCAGGATTTCTTGCCAAACTCCTATGCTATGGGCTTTTGCAGCCACAGGTCTCCTGTACTGAGTGGTTAATTTCCAGGAATCTACTCGAATCTCCAGGATATTATTCATCAGAGCAAGAAGAGGAGCCAGGGGAAAGGACGCCACAAAGAGAGTAATGAATCCAAACTGAATGACTGCAAGGGAGAAAACAAAAGTGCCAAAATTTGCCCCTACAAAAGCACGCTCAGGGTGACAGTGAAACACTCAAGTTGCCACTCGCGGACAAATGGCAAACTTCTGTCAGGCTCCACAAGAAATCATCTCCAGCCCTGGCCGGAGCCAAGTGACAACCTGCCTCAGCCCCAAGACTTCTCTAGTCTCTTAGGGGAGCCATGCAGCAGCACCCAAGGGGAACAGGGCATTCGGGTCCTGTCAAGTGATGCCGCCAGCTGTGCTGGATACTAATAATTCTTTCGTGGTGCTGCAGCTCTCACGAATGGAATGTAACTGTAGGGGAATGCCAATGTACTCATACATCATGTTTCCTATCTCGTGATTCAGAACAAAACCAAAACCAGACTAGTTTTTCTCTCCTGCGGTTTGTACAGAGCAAGCCTGTTCTCCTTTTACTTACCAGCTACACTCCTAAATGAAAAAGAGGAAATACTTTCACTTTTATCACTATCTTACCTCCAACCTATTGTTACTGGTTTAACCAAAATATTAATACTAATTCTGTATGTAATAGGTCCACTGGGGAGTCTTACCGTTAGTTAAAGAATTGCAAATAAAATGCATACATGACCCCCTTAGTCAGTACCAAAATGAAATGTCTCTTGGTACAGAATGTGACAGTCCTCGGTGCAGAGCCAATACTGCCACTATGTTTTAAAGACAGGAAATAGAACATCTTGTCTGGTTTAGGCAGTGGATAAAAATAAATTCCCATACACCAGTCATCAGCTCTTCCATGACTGGAGCGATCAGTTCTTCATCTTAGACAAGCAACAAAATTCCTACAAGTTTAGCAGCCCCGGAACAATGCAGGAGTGTACTGATGCAGGTCTGATTCAGGAGGAGCAAGCACATCTGTTCACAGGCATGGCTGGCAACACTGATGGGTCTTAGCGTATGAATTTCACAAGATCACAGCCCTGTATGCAATACCTTGAAGTGTATGAAATGACAATAATACAGTTGCAAAGCTCTAGGCAATAATTATTTCTGTACAAATAAAACAATACAAGGGATCACTTTTCAACAAATATTGTCCTTCCAATAGACAAATACTAGTATTTTTATAGTATATTTTAGATTTCATTTGGCTTCAATTGCTAGTTTTAGTTTCTTAGGTTTTGTAAAGCAATTTCATATGCTGACCTGCTTACATTACCTTTGAAAAATCCTATTCTGCTACCCATGCTCCCTCTGCTGGTCTACTGGACTCTATCGAAGCACTAATCAGTGCAAACCTAAAACTAAATGGATTCTCCCTGATCCAGTTCGTCGCTCTCATATCTGCAGTACACATCCTTACAGGATATTTGGCACTCATCCCATACTTACAATTTCCACTGACATCAGCTGAGAATATGCTTGGGAACAAGCACAGAATAGACATCGAGGCAGCTGGCTGCACCAAGAATAATGTTCACCATTCAAATGAGGGAAACAAACACTCTTTGTAACGTTCCTGTGAAATTCCCTGCAGTCTAAGAGGCAAAGGCATCTTTTTTTTTTTTTTTTTTTTTTAATTGGGCTGACCTATTTAATCATTTCCAGCAGTTAATCATCTACTGTTTACCAGATGAAAGTGGTGGCATCGACCCATAACAATTAATTGAGAAGCTATTTTTTTGGAAGTGTCAGTACAAGGTGTCTTGTCCTCAATTCCAAATGGGTATTTTTAAACTTACCCATTTCTAGATATTCATAGAACAGGCCTAAGGCTCCAAATGTCTGCAGATCGTGGTCTTGCTCCCAGCGACTGTATAAATTTTCTGGATTATTTCTGGCTTTCCGGCGTCCCCACCAGTTACAAATCCAGCTGTATATACAGAAAAAGTTAACAATGAGAGGAGCAGAACAAGTATCCCTTTCTCTAAGCAAGCTCCTTGTTGCAATATGCTTTTACAAGCACGGCTTTCACAAAGAGAGGCCAAAAGCCTCGATAAAATGAGCCTACTTGTCAGAATTTGTGCTTAATTTACAGAATTTTTCTTAGCTTCTTCATATGGCAATACTTGTTATCACTCCTTTCAAAATTTCCTCTGTCTATAACACGGGCATCTCAGTGTAAGAGATAACTTACGGTACAATGGCCTCTTGGATATTTCCCCAGATCTGTTTGCCAGCCATGACTATGGTGAGCTGTGTCGTCAATTCTATCAAACAACCCGCAGGATCACACTGGGAGAGATAAATTGGGGGTTAGTGGACATTAATAATGGACATTACCTATATAAACTATATTCTACTACTGTACGAGTGAAAGAAAGAAGAGAAGAAGGTTCTTAAAACTTGTTGGGACAGTACTTTCACCTGGACTGCCAGCTAAGATACCCTCTCAGGAAGGCTGTTATAGATGGGCTTTCAATGCTCAACGTGCTTGATAAAACACACACCAAAACATAACGACATTTAAACACAGAGTAATTCAGAGATGCTTCAGGCTGACCACGGTGCCGATACACGAGGATGGGGCAGCAGGACCCACATGCAGCAGCCACCCCGCCGCCCCAGCAAGGCGAACCTGTGGTGCTCGGTTAGCTGACAACACCAGACCAACCCGGACCTACCAAGCACCCGCATTTTCTATTCATATTCCATTCCAGATGTATTTAAATACCTGCCAGTATCTGGTCTCTGCTGTTTGCTGAGAACACTAAAGTTTCAACTCTTTAATGAGGCCTTCTTAAGAATTTAGCATTGTATTACTTCATTGTCTTTTGCATGAAGTTTTTCCTCTACTCTTGACTCCCAGGCAATGCTTCACATTAAATACTGCATTTCACCTCTGTACAAACAGCATAACTAGCAACGATATGAGGAAAAAAGCAAAAGCTTACAGATGTGCCTCTTACCAAATGGTTTATCTGAAAACATAGTGCCTCAAAAAGCTAATGAAGACAGCCAGAGACCATTGACATTTGTACTAGCTTTCTTCAACCTAGAGGATCACTTTTAAGACCCACAGCAAGATCTGCTGATATTTCAGGAGGACTGGGGCCAAGCAAAACTTTTGCATTTTTTCACCCTTGTAACTGAGAGACACAGATTTTCACTGCTCGTGTTTCCCTGAGTAGCAAAGCAGGAAGAGTCCTTGGAAGTCCCTCCATCAGCCTCGGGATGGCCAGCGAGGTCCACCTCATTCCAGACCAAACACGCAGCTGGCAATTTATGACGTGCAGGCTGGAAGAGATAGAGAGTTTAACCAGATTACTCAACCCACCTTAACCAAGAAAGTCCTACCTCTTCATTTCGCCAGCGATTAAACATGTATGTGTAGGCACCTGGGTAACCAACAAACTTCCCTTTGAAGAAGGCCACGTAGAAGCAGGATGAATAGTAGTTGACAAACTGGAACAGAAACATTTTCATAGTGAGCCTGTTCTCATACTCCATATGAGTTCTGGGAATCTCTGTGAAACCAGAAAACAGTATTTTATTTTCCTTTATTCCCTTTAAAAGGGATACAGATTCATAAATACTCATCACCCACAGTGTCCCTTACATCCCAAAGGAAAAAAAAAAAAAAAAAAAGAAAGAAGAAAAAGAAAACCACCTACAAACAGTTCAGCAAATGGAATTCCTGCTCGCAGACACCCTGCCCTTAATTTACAATACAACGCTCTGAGTAGACACGTGAGTGAAATTAATTCTTCAGACATTTATAAGCTTCTATTTCCCTTCTTTGTAGTGTCCGCTAGCACTTGTCCATCCCAAAATCTTACACTATTTTTCAGAGATCCAAGATCAATCTCAAACATTAATTACCAGGGTCTTCTAGACTATGAAAATTTCATTGTTGGCAATGCACATGATAAAGAATTTTTTTTCATTGTGGTAGAGAAGCATGTTACAGTATTGTTTTTTTCAATATGCTGTATGTGTGTAACTTATATTGAAACCAGCAGAAACTGGATGGGTCCTGTGCGTATGAAAGACGAGGCTCATGGTGTGGAGGGGGAGAGTAGGGAAGGGTACAGGCATCTCAGTGGTACTGAACAGCACCAAGCCTTTGTTTAAGATTTTGTTGCCTTCGTAATCACGTTCTGCGTTACGTTCACATTTTTATAGGTAGCAGGAAGACCTATGCACATTATTCATAAACTGTCCTGTTAAATGATAACGTATAACCAATTCAAGCTGGGAGAAAGGGGAAGAAAACACACCACAAGCATCCAAGTCCCTCTGAATTGGTCAGGACCTGGCAGGCGTGTTGAACTTACCGGCCCTATGGCAAAGTTACTTTATACATCTGAGTAAACTAACTTTTCCAAGCTTCGCATAAGTTTGCATGACAGAAGGTATTTACTGGGAGCCTGTATGTACTACAGAGGAGGCGGTATTCCTGTGAGGTAGTCTGCCTAAGTTGCAACTCATTAAAGTATTTTTATTGGCAGTGAGCTGTTCAAATGTTTATGTCAGGCAACGTTCAAGCACCAGAGGTAGGTTATACCTGCATGTCTGAACACAAAATCTTGCCTAAGCTTTTTAAGGTTGTCAAGAGTGACAAGCATTAGAACAGACACTCCTGATGGCTGCAGCCAACATTTCATACCCTGGACCCGACCCTGTCTCTAAGCCTGGCCTAAGTGCTGCTGCCAGAGGAGGGCAGCAGTCCCACAGAAGTGAACATTTATTGTCCTGTAACTGATAAACACAGGTAGAGCTGACACTTAAGAAATTAATCCTCCACACTCGCAAGCAGAAAAATAACATTGCTGAGCCTTCATGCTTATAATTCATGTCCTTCAAGGAAGATTAAAAAATGATGATTTTCTGGGGTTTTTTTCCTGTTTGTTTTGGGGGTTTTTTGTTTCGTTTTTTGCTAGGGGCAATTTTACTTATTACTTGTTCTGTCATTCTTTGATCTAATTTGGCCAAGTGAGAGATACAATACAGATCTCTGAGACAATAGACAGTCCGTGATAATTCAAAATAAATCCAATGCAAAATCCCATTAAGCTTCTACAACAAACACCTTTCAATTTTTGATTTCACTTGCAAGACCTCATAAAAAAAGATCACCCAACTATGCTGTCTATGATAGCTGTACAAACTACAAATACCTCATACTTTCAGCTCTCCCTCCCATAGCTGAATATTCTGCAATCATTTCTTTCTATAAAGCACCTGCAGGGACTTGTACATCTAAATAATTAAAGGCAAACAAAGAAAAATACCCAAAAAGGGCTCTAGGGAAGGGTATTTCCAGCAAGGAAGCAACAGTCAAACATGAAATCTGCTACAAAACCTACAGATCTTTTGGGGCCTGCCTGCCAGCTCCTCCAGCTCTGGAGCGCACCTACTGCAGGTAACGCTACCGATGGCTACAGCCACAACGACACATCTTGGGCCCAGCTTCGCAACTTGCTCAATCTTTGCCTTCAACCAGTATTAACTCCAGATTATCTGTAAATCCATAGCTAAGGAAAACATGGCCAAGAAAAAAAAAAACCACCTCTGGAAAATATACTGTTTTATCCTATCCCCCAGCCTCCTACCTCTTCCCCTTCAAAGAGAGACACACGATTTAGTCTTTTTTCTTGTCAAGATGGCTGTGAAAGCTGTGATCTATTTTTCAAAATAGATCTTCACGATTTCTAATTGAAATACCGCTAAATCAAGACAGCTTGATCTTGCTTTGGTGACTCTAATATAACACATGATAATTTTTAATTATGTTCAGAACTGTGATGGTCTCTGCAGACTAGTTTTAAGATGAGCAAACGTTGTACCAGCTTACGATAATTATTCAAATGCAGGGAAAATGTTCAGCATGGCCAACGGTACAAGTGAGTCATTGCTGCAAACTACAGACTAACATCCTACATGGGTTCCACCTTCAGTGATTCCTTGAAAGATTTGTCTTCAAGTACACTGCTTACCCATATCAGTAATCCAGATGGCTATTCTCTCATATAAGAAATTCAGTATCATGATGATGACAAAATTGAGGCACGAGGCCGTGACTGAAGTTGCCAGCTGAGGGGTCAGTAATCCACTGATGGGCTGTAAAGTTTGAGTGTTCTCCATCAGGCTGGCAAAGGCAGCGTACACCGCGAGACGATACACGATCACAGCTATCATGCTAGCTATGATCAGAGACACCTAAGGAAAGGACAGAGATGTGAAATACACTTTTAGCTCACTATAGCTACACGCATGCAACTTTTGAAATAAGATGTAAAACATCATGCATCATACTTTTAAAATTTTATTCTTTTGGGCATGAGTTCAGCAGCACTGAAATGCAAAGTACACAGGTAAAATGCTTTGTTATATGATACACATTAAATCTAACAAAATCATTTTGTTAACACAAGAAAAGCAATCTAATGCCAATATTCAAAAAATAAAAAATGCAGAAGGACACAGACTTATAGAAATGGAGATGGGAGAAGTTAGATTATATTGTCCACCCTGAAATTCCATCTGCAGATATTTCTACAGAGAAATATGCAAATATTTCATTGTATTGAACAGTTGGGGTTTTTGGGTTTTTTTTTGACCTTGACTATAAATTTTTTCAGTATGGTCTGCAACAGCACATGAGCCAGAGAAAAAATTATCCCTATACCAAAGTGTCCAATCAAATTACTAATTAGTGACCGATTTCCAAGTTTTTTTGTGGTGGTGTTTTTTTTTTTTTTTTTAAATCTGAATCGACATGCATTTTGCATGACAGCAGGAAATCTGCAGGACGATAATAAAAGCATGTGTTAATATCACGATGAAAACCAGTTTGTGTTAATGTCATGATTAGTGATGATCAGCAACTCTGCTATATGTTAAAATTATGATTCAAAAAGATGCTCACCCAGAACAACACTGTAGTTCCTGAGATGCAGAACCGCACAGCCTGGCTAGTTATAGGCAAATAAGGCTCCATCTCCTGAAACAGTCAAGCAAGCACAGCACAGTTCACAAATCCGTAATCTTATTCTAACGTCAAGCAGCATACAGAGCTCTCATCAGCTGTGTGAAAGTGCGCACATCCGAGGAAAACCGTTCAGAACCCCCCTCCCTACAAGGGCAGATAGGACATGATTTTGAATGTGCTGCGGGGCAGGGGGGGAAGATCAGGCCAGAAGCGGCCGTAACAATGCTAAAAGTAAAGACAGCACTTGGAAAGAATGGTTAAACCTTTGCAAAAATCAATCAGTAGCTGAAGGAAAAAGGCCACCTCCTTCATTAGATGCACAGGCAGAACTATTACAGTAATGCTAGGTCAGCTGTCATACAGCCCCGAGGCCAAAACTGGACTGAATTTTAAGAAATTCTTCATGTCAAGGCCTCTTAAAATGGTCATTGACTTGGATGTACCATGTTTTCCCACACAGCCAGAGAGTGTTTTCCTCCACTCCTTCAATTATTATTTTTTTTTTAATTGAAGAAATGGCTACATTTATTAGTTGCCAATCTCTGCTGCAGCATCAGGCAGCTAGGGCTTACCCAAGCAAGTATCCCCACATAGCACACAAACAATTTTCCATGTTCGTGTAAAGTTCTCTTTTTCGCAACCAATTCTAATTCCTAAAATATCAGATTACATATATTAAGAAAGGATCATTTAAGAACTAATGTCAGTGGAAGAAGACTTAGTAAAAAAATAACCTGAATTTGATAAATCTCTGGGACAAGGCGTCATAGTATGCCTACACTCCTCTTGGACAGAGGGGCACCAATTACCACAGAAGATTGCAATATTAAGTATATTGAACCAGGAAATGCTTGTTTTGACAACAAAACCTGTAAAATGTTGTTGAAGGGGCTTTATTTTTTGTTGCGTGAAAGCCCAGAACGTGCCAAACGTGTTGGCGTAACACAGAGTAATTACATCGAATACGACAGCAGCAACTGAGCTGCACGTTTCTCCCTGACACGACGCAGCCGTAACAGGTGTTTTACAAGCGTTGCTTCTTGACGGCAATATTCTTCAGTCAATGGGCACACTCATACCAGCGTGATTCTGTTTGAAGCGTAATGTGCTGTTCTCTCAGGAGAGATATACTGCCTGTATCTGCCTAAGTATGCTTACTAAACACAATTATCAATACTGTAGTCACAACACGTTGTTTGATGATGATGATGACAACAGTTAAAAGCTCTATTAACAGAACTATAAAAACCAGCTGAAGATAAGACACAAGCACAGATATCAGGTGGCTTTACATAGGCTCATAACATTTTATACTTACTATGTATTAATAAATAGTATGTATACTCTCTACTGAGAGCAAATGTTTCACTCTTTCTAGGCTATTCAACAAGTTTTCTACTGTAGAACAAAATGTAGGCAATAACGTGCAATGACAGAGCCTAAGTTTGAATGGAATGCTTCATTATTTATGTAAATTAAGATTATACTGCAATCAGCAAAACCAGATTTTGGCTATGATCTAGCTAAATAGTTTAGCATCATGACCAAATGAGGCGTTAATTAAAGCTTTGAGATAGGCGATTTCCATTTCAGTGCACCTATAACTTTGAATCACGGCCAGGAATAATGAGGAAACAATTTTCTGAGCAAAGCCAAGCCAGCCTTGAGACTCAAGAAACTCAGTGACCTGTATCCATATTATCAGTCTGCAGAATTAACTTATTTGAAATCACTATCCTTTCACATGTTCAGTATTGCACATTATCTAATGAAAGGAAATGATACTACAGCATGGCTAACCTGCATAGTTTGCCATAACTGGGTATTGCGCAGGATCACTGCTAAACCCTACAGCACAAAAGCTTCTGAAAATTCACCAAGGTATAAATTGATGTGTCATAAAATAAAGGATTGCAGAGTCATTGAATTTTTATGGTGATTGTTCATGCATACTTAGAAAGCACAGAACAGCGCAGTATCTCACTCTGAGGCAAGAAATATATATTATGGTCCAATTTCTGTTTCCAAAATAAAGTCCAAAGAAACCATCCTACTTAAGAGATCTGCATGAATTTACAGAGAGAATAATCATCTCCCTCAGCACAGGTATACCAACGCACCTCACCCATGCCATCCTTGGCTGTAGTCTGCTGCGGCTGATTCACCTCGCCAGACCGGGGGTTTTGGTCCGTGCTGTACGAAATCACTGCCTACGAGTCAGCCCGTTACTTCCCTGTCCTCACGTGATCCCCCTCTGCTGCCGCAGCCCCTTACTTCTGAGCACACAAGGGCTGTGAACCGCCTGTGTGATTTCCCCCTGCTCCTCACTTCAACTGCAGCAGAACCACAGTGGTTCAGCTGGTTTTGGTCGCTGTACATGTAAGAAAGCAGAGGTTTTGAGCCTGAGCATACACAGGGATGCAAGCTAGCAAATAACACTCAACAGGCAGGCATCTGTTTTCAATTAGCTGAACTAGCTAATCAAAAATTGATTTATCTGAAACTCTTTTCCTGAGCATGCAGAAGTCAATACCTTGGCAGAGCTACACTCAAAATTACAGTGCACGGTTAGCAAAGATCTCTGCGTGACTACAGCGTACAAGTTGCAGGTATAAGGAACAACAGCATCAACGCTGCCATGTGCAGAAGGGGAAGGAGAGACAGAAAAACTGTCTCTCATGAGAAATAAGATTAGTGTACATATCTCCTAATAATTAATGAGAGAAACCCTGAAAGACAGGGCTACTTTATAACAATGGTGCTTCCGATATTCTGGCTAAGCTTCTATTTCTTTTCTGAAGACTGTATTATCTAAGTCTGCTTATGACTAGTGAAAATAAGTGATCTATATACAATTCTAGGAAGACGAAGGATGATTTAAAAACACAGCAAATTGAGGTGGTTGACATTGTATTGGAATGCAACCATCTGATCTCTAAATTTGTCAAATAACTCCTACCTAAATTAAATTTAAATGAAAACAATTAACATCTAGTAGCTATTTACATAGAGCATTTAACAGAGTTAAATAGGGTGCCTAATTGTATCTCAACTGGATTTCAGACAAAGGGCTTCAGCAACCTTCATCTGTCTAGCGTTCCCTAAAGTGGTCATATATCAGAAAGCCACAGCTAGTTCCACTTCTGCGTCTTTAGATCAAGACAACTGCTCCTTCCTGTGCTGTGCAGGGATGAGAAAGAGTGCTTTTAAAGGCGTGAAGGTCTCAGGGACTGCTATCTTGAAATGTGAAGGAGACTGTAAAGATGATGTTAGCCAAGTGAAAGCTATAAACTTCGCATTTGTATTCCTAATTTAATATATCAGTTTCCTGTAGAAATTAAAATTAATAGAGGATAATTAAGGAAAGCTATGCATACACTCCAGAGACAACCCCCCCACACGTTCTCATTTATTCTGTCTCAAAAGCCTAGCTAACAAAAGACATCTGCAGGAAGAGAGCCATGGTCCAAGAGATGGGGCACGCCTGTCATGAGCAAGAGGAGGCTGAAGTGCTGAGCGCCCTCGGTACTGTTACCTTCAGACTGGAAAGCAGGACAGCCGCACCGCAGTGGCCCTGCACCAGGCTGAACAGACCCTTGAAAAAGGCAGGGCTATCAACTCCAGAACTTACTGACACTAGCACAGCTACGCTGCTTTCGGTGTTTATCTCTGATACTAGTCCGAGTGCAAACCTCGGGACTCATCAACTGGATGCCTTCAGCGAGAAAACAACGTGTTACCAAATTCTGCTTTGATATTCAATGCAATCTATTGTGTTCAGTAAGGGCATGGCTGGCGTCATGCTCTACATATTTAAGCCAAGCTCACTGCTATCACAAACATCGCTCTGGGGAGATGTAATAGCTGAGGGCCTGCCCTGCTCCAATGGAAATGTGGCTTTGCTTACGTACGTCACACAAATCTTTACCTAGCCATGAGATACAGACTTCTTCCTAAGACAGAACTCACACGCTGTCAAACTTCCAGCACGCAACTGAATTTGCATGCAGGGCAACCCAGCACGCTCATTACCTGAGTTACAGGATTCTTCTTCTTTTGGGTACATTTTGCCTCGTACTCAGGCCTCAGCTGGAGTTGTTGCTGTTCCTCTTCAAAATCAACCAAATCCCACTCATATTTCAGTCTAGCTTGCCGCCTCTTCCAAAACTCCAAGAAAAGTGTAACTGCAATTTGGAAGTATTAAAATACAGTTAAGGGAGAAGCAAACAAGTCTATGAACAAAGTTAAACTTGTTTCTGTGCTGGCTCCTATTCTGCAGTCTATTTTTCACCCTCACAATGTGACCTATCTATTTATATTAAAGTTCACAGCTAAGACCATAACACAGATTAAGTAATTTGTTAGCTAATTGAATTCCAGAAGTAGGTCCAGGAAGATGCCGAGACAGGATATAGGTATTTCCATGGTTATGACAACCATGTTTAATTACAGTTTAACTACTTTTCATATGCAAATGACAATACAAAATTAGCAAAGGAACGTGACAATTCAACTGATTGCTTGTGTATAAACCTGTAACACGTGAACAGCTACGACAAATAAGCAAAACTGTTTTCAAGTAGTACACATTCAAAGATTTCTGTTCCTTTTTGATAAGTATTTAATATCACGGTCATTTTAAAGACAGTGAATGTCTGATGCTTTTCATATGATCAAGAGTAAGGCTTGCTTGAGAAATTAAGACACTAGAAGGAACTGATTTAATATATAAAATAAACAGCTATAAAAGTTATAATAGTATATAACATCTAAAAAGCCCTCTATAAACTACTTTAAACTGTAAACCTTTGGTAATCTGATTGTTCTTATTTGCAGTGGGAAGCCTTTACGGTTTACACAAAACACAGGAAACCTTATCTTCTGCAGTTCTAAAAATCTTTTTCTGGTACTGCCTGAATGATTAACGCATGTCACTCAAAGGCTAGTGATTAAAACCAAAAAAGAGTCATACATCATCATCATCTTTAACCTTTTTTTGAGAATTCTCTATGAAAAAGTTAATGGCCAGATCCTTCAATAGTGAATACACAAACAGATTTTGTCTTAGCACACAGAAATCTTTGCGCATTAATGAAATATAAGTATTCTAATTGAAGATTTAATTATGATATTTCACACAAACAGTATGAAACAGGAGACAAGATATTTCAGGAAATAAGAAACAATAACTACACTATCCTGCATCTATAAACCTCCACAAAGTTTAAGAATGTGTATTCAAGACAACACAGTCTTAAAATCTGAACAAGTATCACTTGGTGTGAAACCATCCTTAGAGAGTCAGGAAATGCACCTGTTTCTGCATCATCAAGACAAACTATAATGTATGGCCTTCACTGGAGTAGAAGCCAATTGGTTCTCATCCCAGAATTGCTGCTAACGAAGCGGTAGTGCTGGACCACCCTCCAGTGAAAGGACACAAGAGTTCTCTACTCCCCCACGGAGACACTGATAATTTGCAGCCCTAATTAGAGAATACTCTCACAAGGACTGCTTAAGGTTGGACCACTCCATCTTAGGTTACTAAGGAAAGAAACAAATGTTTGCAGGTAGAGGGCATGATGGTTATGACATCCTAGATACCTGCCGGACCTTGTTTCGTTTTGGTTAAGCCCAGTCCTTCCATAGCTTTAAATTATTTTTATACACTTTTGCCTCTGAGGCAAACTGTGAATTCTCTGCCTTCTTCCCTCAGCAGTCTGGCCAAGATCTCCTTATTGCTTGACTTATCAAATGTACTCACCCCATATGCCCATGAAAATGGCAAAAAAGAGAGTTGCCACGTTGTCAAACAAATGGGAATACTGCAACAGAACACACAGGGACAGGTTGGTACCAAAACAGTTTTCAGTATGAACAAAAGTGACAAGTGGCTGGAGAACCAGATACAGACCTCTGAGGACTCACAGGTGGTGTTTAGTCTCCAGTACTCACACTCTCGGTCACAGAGAGGGCACATGATGATCTCTCCTCCAATTGCAGGGTCACAGATTTCTTTGCTGAGGAGAAAATATGGTACAGTATCTGTTTTCATAGCATCTTAAGAGCTGCTATATGAGATTTATTCTTTCTAAATAAATTAAGAGCTTTGTTTGTTCAAAGCTCAACATCAGTAGCTTCACACCAAAGATGCCAAGTGTTGTCACATTCATTGGTATTAACCTATAGTTGGTCAGGGCAAGCCAAGAAAATCAGCAGCTGCTACAAGGAGGAGAACTAGCAAGTCACTTGGTATGAGCTTTCTAATTCTATCAGTAATAAATCAGGAGCTGTAATACACATGCCTCCCTCCCCCAAATCCCTGAATACAATAAATCTTGGGACCCTTGAAGAAACAAATACAATGCTTATTTAAAAAGAAACAAACTCTGGCTTCCAAGATACTGGATCCCTCTTTGATGGGACAACACTGCTGATCTGTCCTGTACTCATGCTTTTAGTAGGTAGTACAAATGATGACCTACACAAAAAGGTCAACGGACTCCTTTGCAAGATAAATTAAAATAGAAAAGTTTAAGGCAACAATAAACACTTGAAACAAACAATTTTGAGAGATGTCAGTGGTACTCTTGGGACTTTATGTATTGCAGGTACTCCAATATAAATGGCAATAAAATATTGCTTTTTGCCTACAAATTGAGTCTTACTAATTAATAGTCACAAGTTCTGCATTAGCTGTCCACCATCATTTCAGTCAATAAAGATAGCCAAAGAGCAAATCTGTCCCCTCTGACAAGCTTTAAAAGCTTGTTACCTGTTTTATTGAAAGAAAGAAATTTTCACATTGCTTAGCTTTTCCCTTTATAAGTCCAGGAGATGTTCAGCATTACACTCACCTGCTCATATTTTCATCCATTGTAAACAAGCCATAAAGAAAACAGATTAAGCCAACAACTGCTGCAAGGAATAACATCTCGGTGTAAAATCCTAACCAGGCAAAATAAATTCCAATCTTCTCACCGTAGTACTTCCTGAATACAAAAACACGCAATTAATGGGAATACAAAATTTAAAAGTGCAATAGAGCAAACTGGCCAGAGTCAAAATGAAACACTTGGCAAAATTCTCGTTGAACAGAAAGGTACACTGGAAAAATGAGATCTGAAGCTAGCTGTGAGAAGTTTCGCAAGCTCTTTGACCCTTTTCCACCTCCTGGCAGGAGCTCCAGCTTTAAAACAAAAAAAATCAGTCTCCTTCCCACAGGATAACGTAAATGAAGATATACTTTTTTGATTTTCCAAGGAGTTATACAAATTAAACTGGACAAAGAGTTCTGATCATATGGTTAGAACAAATGGCTAATTGACAGAAATACAACTGGCTAAGTTACAAATGGGGCAACTGTAACCTGTGAATAAAGTAACATTTTTGTTATAGCACATTAGTTGAATCAAAAAGACCTTGGGTAAGGTTTGTTTAAATTTGGGTTTAGTGCTGAATTAAAAGCCACACTTCAAAACTGATTTTATCAGTGTTTTTCCAAGTCTGTGTTGAAATTTCAAAATTTCAAATCCATCTTTAAAAATTGTAGCAGATACCGATTGTAAAATGCAAGGTATTCTTTGTATGTGTTCAGCTAAATTATCTGTAATATACCTGACCCCTGGGCTAGACTGAAAGAGGCTTGACTTGAGATAAGGCATTTTTCTAGTTGCTAGTGAAAACCTGCATCGTGTCCTCCAAGGACCTAGTGTCCAATTAAGTATCTGACTCTCATCAAATCTTCAAAGTAGTAAAAATTTCCCAGCAGGATCAAGCTACAAATGCATATAAGCTTGCACTACGGTGAAAACCAAGTAAATCTCATAAAACACAGGCAGCATTTTACCTGATGAGGTCCAAAGGCTGTTCTTTGTAGAACCGCAAGAAACGGGCCCACTCCATGTACAGCGTGTATCTCTCATTGTCACAGTTTGGATCATTTGCCTTTTTCCAGTACTGGCACTGCGAGCAAATCAGAGTAAAGGCAAAACACCTCATCGACAGACTCAAATACTACATTAAAAGAAATGAATATTAATGTTGATGATGCATCCCTCTTAAGATTATGCCAACAAAACTAATTTGAAATTCAAACTTAACACTCTGCTTCACCACTTTAAGTACAACCCTCTTCATATATGTTTTAAGATAATAAACACTTTCAGAAAACATTTATCAATCTTAGCCATTGAGTCAACCTGTACTGTAACCACATCCTGTTACTTTACACCAGTGTAATCTACACTGGTAGATTACTGCAGGGAATGGTTTGCTCCTTTACACTGTGTAACATATTGAATTGCGGAAGTTCAAGCTTCCCTAAAGTAGAAAACCACTATTTTACTCAACTTCATTAAAAACAATGCAAATTTAAATCCCATTCTCTGTACTTCCATCTCATTGTAAATTGCACAGCCAAAAGCATTTCACTGAGAGATGTAAACTAGGGCATATAAATAAAAGTTGTTTCCTGCCTCCATGCAGGAGCATGTAGCACTGTAATAAACTCCATGCTGGGGCTTCTTGAGTTGTAAGGCAAGAACACGCAAACCTAAAGTCTGACACTAATTAACTTTCAGCGGTGTTCGTCACTATCATGTATCTACCTGTCAAACACTAAGAAAATTTTGGAACTTCATCAGTTTCCTAGAAATTAAACAGCACAAAATAGCCACAGTTTCTGACAGCTCTTTTAATTTTATTTTGTGTTGTTAGAACTCTACCTTTAGAAATACTTGGCTATGTCAAACATTCAGTCTGTGATCTCGGTTTTCCTTTTTTTCCTGAATGTGTCTCAATCCCAAAGAAAAACAGGAAAATTGGTTTCCAAATAGAAATCGAGAAGTTTAAACAACCTAAAGTTTGCACTTTTAAAATATTTTAAAAGGTTAAATTTTTAGATAATGATTTGTGAGTGTCTCATGATTTTTTGATTTTTTTCATACTATTTCTTAGCATTTAAGATTGGTTGTACTTGTATAGAAGAGATTCTTGTACAACTGCTTTTTATTAGCTGTGGTTTTGGTAGTCCCAACAGTACAAAGTACTTCGGAGCCTAGACTAGTCTTCTACAGCCTAGACTCTGATCAGCTAAACCTTCTCCCTGAAAACCTAAAGAACGCCCATTCATCCATTTCTTCTCATTTTCTAAGGGAGGAAAAAAGATATAGATTTATGTTTTCAAATGTTTTATATAAAAGTATTTAAAAATACCTTGTGGTACAACTCACAGATATAAACAAGCAAGTTAAGTTCCATAAAGCATTGCGACAAATCTTAAATAACTATTAAAAACAAGGAGAAAATTTAAGATTTAAGCAATGAATTAAAAACATGACATTCAGAAGGAAAAAAAAAAAAAGAAACAAATTAAAAAACCCACAATCTATGAAATTCAGTAACCCATTCTTTTCTCCAAGGGATTTCAGGGCTAAATCCATGTATGTTGCATTAAAAATTGACCCTAAACTAAATGCCAGTATTTACCATCCTGACCACGCTTCCAGTATTTGGAGTTGCTCACCAAAACTCTCTAGGAGATGGACAAGGGACCACCCCACAGTGAACTGTAGGGCTCATACAACTCCTCTGACTTCAGTCCCAACACAGTACGATCCTAAGAGCATTTATATAACTACGGCTAGTAGGTACTACTGTATAACTATAGGATATGCGTGTACGCAGCCTATACACTCATTGCTGGATGTATGCATCTACAGTACATTTTCATTCCTTCTTATAATCTTGCTAATGTACTATCGCATAATCTGTATCACAGACAGTATAGGAATATACTACGGAGTAAGTCTCTTACAAATTATGTGACTGACATGTAAATATATCCTAGAAACTCATCCATAGGAGGAAACATTTCAGCACATAAAAGCCAAACAGGAGGGCTGGCAGATATGTCTTGTGTTTTATAAAACAGAATCGATTACTGGGACAAATGGCAGAAGGGTTTGAGTACATTTTCGTTTCTGCTGGAAACAACAAATGTCGCAGTAGGTAAAAAAGTAAAAACACCGGGAAATACTCAAAGGAGCAGAAAGCTAAAATACTTACATCATGAAGAGGATATGCAGCTGAGTAGGTGCCATTATTTAGCAGTCTCTTAATCCCAAATTTTTTCTTTCCTTCTTCTGTTCCATACGGGCAACGCGTAAGAATATAATTAACCTAGGATTCAAATACAAGGACTTCAGACATTTCCTGCTTTAAGGCCATTTAACAAAAAACTGTAATGGTTGTGCATTGTGCATAATCTGCAGCAATAATATGCAAAAGCAGAAAGCATTTCTCCAGAAGGCCCTACCCTGCATGAGGCCGTTGAGGGCACACTTGCCTTGTAGACATCCACAAGATCCATTCCAACAAATACCATTCCAGATTTCTAAGAAAGATGCACAGGCATCTAGGTTTCCTTGTAGTTACCCAGCGATATCACAGTTTATATACTCCTTCCTTGCACGAATATCCCTACAGGTCTGTGTAAATCTACACGTAAATAAAAGGAGACAAATTAACATACGTACTATTCTGTTTCTCATGGATGGTGAGAAGAAAGTGCTCTCGTCATTAATGAGGTACAGCTCCTGCTTCTCCTTGCTGAACGGTGCCGTGAAATAATCTGGTTCGGGGTGCATGACCTTCTCGGGAAGCCTGAGTGGTGCAAGCATACAGTCCAGGGGGTTCTCCACCGCTGAGGGAATGTCATTTTCCTTGATGGGAACTTTAATATTCAGCACTTCTGCATACGTGATCAGAACCTCCCACGGGGCATGGATCTTCACAAAATAAATCTTGCCATCTTCAGATTCCTGCCCCAGGAAAGTTAAATCTGACGTCAGACTAAACTGTGCTTTATTGCAAGATTTATGAGAATAGTTGTTATACAAAATTTATTGCCATTTACATATTTTTGAAAGCTTAAAAAAAAAAAGTGAGGGGGAATAGGGGGATTTTTTGTATTTTTTGTGTTTATTTTTTTAACTGAAAAGCTTATCCGAGCAGTTAATTGTTCATAAAGATAACCTTTGCAGTACTACAAGCTCACAAAGGCATTTCAAACTACATTAACCTTGTACAATGAGGCCTGAAAACTTTCATTACGCTCTGAGTCCACTGGAAACGCAAGGGTTTGCGGCGCAGGGCTGGCCTCTCGTCAGCCCACGTGTCCTGCAGACCACCGTACTGGACTGTAAAGCGGTTCTCTTTCCTGGAGAGGGCAGTTTTCATACAGCAGAGTAGAGCAAACAAGACTCCTTGCAAAAAGGAGTTACAACCAGAACTCAGATCTGTTACAGCCTCACAGCTGTGATAAGGAATAATCTTACCAGAGCCCTCACCCTATGGTATATGTTCTTCTAGCGTTCTTCGACACAGGAGAAAATGGCAATCAGAAGGTATTTTTTAACATACTGATAATGAATCGCCATCTAGGGATGTTACAGAGTCTAAACTTCAGCAAGAGTTATTTTGCCCCACCCAATCTCTGGCAGCAGAGAAGAGCATGCTGACTGAAGACGTCAACATCCCAGGTTCTCCAGTTATTCACCAAAACAGTAATGCTAATCAAACATCCTCAAGTTGTTACACCAGGGTCCTTCCTCGTCGTAATCGCAATATCCAGTGGGCACGCGCTAACCTACTCACTAACTTCCAAACATGTTACTAGTTGTTAGGTGGGATTAAAATCTAGCTGTGGGCATACTTCCCAATTTACATGGGTTTCAAGAAAGTCACAGAGATTCTGCAACTGCTTTCTTTTTGGTATGAAATCAAAAGCCATCGCTTCCTCCGGAATTAAAACTACTTTCACAATTCTTACGAACATATCTGGAAAAATAACTCGAATGAACACATTAAGCTGCTTTCACTTAAATTAGCCATGCTCCACTGGAATCTGCTAGAAAAATATGTAATTTGTCTCAAAGAAACAAAGTGCTATGCATTAATTAGTAATTTGCAGGTTCATTTCTTTGGTCTTAATTGTTTTCTCTCTCTCTCTCTTTTTTTTTTACCTTCTTATCTTCAGTTTCTAGTTCCAAACCAGCCTTTTGCAGATTGCTCTCAAATTCTTTTCTTCTTTCCTGAAAAGAAAAAACCCCACACTTTATTAACCAATGAATTTGCAACTAACTAATCACTTACTGATGACTTCACTGACTTTCACTCCTCCTAGCTGCCCCTTAGCGACAACTTCTCAATGCTGTGTGACCTTTGTAAAAGCAAGCAGACCGACAGACAAAAACCAGCTGATGCAAACCACTTCTGAGGGGTGGCCAGCCTAGTGATGGCAACACATCGGGAATTGCACTGACTAGCAACGGGAATCCTATTTGTTCGGAATAGGCGCAGAAACCGTCCGTTCTTGTTAACCAGAGAAGTAAATGAAGTCGTGCGTCTTTAGCATTTCTGACTCTTCGGAAGGGTGATCGTTCAAGTTTAGCTCTATTTCTAAGAGAATGCTAAAACCAGAGGAAAAGAAAAATTCTGGAAGCATCTGGAAGACACCGCTTATAGTAACATCCATTAACCAGTTTAACAATCATGCCCGATACAGATGTTCATTACAGACAATTCAAACACTATGCATCACAAACAAGGTAACTGTAAAACTAGATAAGACTGATAAATCATCACGTGTGAGCTTACATATGCTTAGCTTGCATAAAGTCAGCGTGGACTTCATGCAGCGATAAATAGATCTGCCAGTGGCAGTGCACGATAGCTGCGTGATCTCTGAGTTTGCGACCCTTCTTGAACTCTGCATTTTGCCAAGTAATTCCTAGGTGGTGTCTTTAGATAACGACATTTTCTTCCCTTCCTTCTCTGTAGAATTTTGGCTCCTATTGGGAGACTGAATTAATTTCCTCTTAATGATATAAAATTTGCTGAAGAACTGCCAGAATAACCACAAGTTAAGCTAAATATAGAGCCCTAGCCTCTTTAGAAAGTCTTAAATGACATTTTTCAAACACACTTAAACCCAAAATACCATAGGTTTCAGCCAATTTCCTTTTCCTGCGTGTGTGTGACGAACAAGCTGCCCTATTTGCATTTCAGTTTGCATAAACTACTTCGATAAATGAATACAGACTGAAGAACAGCTTTAATACCCCTCAAATCTACATTAAGATGTATTGATATATTTTCCTGTGTTAGTGGCCTTGCATATTTAGCTCTCACATCTGATTTTGCCAAATATTATTAGACATTAAATTAGACACTGGCCTAGATAAACTTGCAAATACGGTAATTCCTGAGTTCTAGCACATGCGGGGTGGGATGGACTGCAATTCTATGCACTATTTTTTAATTATTCTATCCCATAAACCTCCCTGTATAAACACACCAGAGAACTCTTGTTTGCTGACCTGCTGATCTAATAGCGAACAATACAACTAAAAGGTGATTTATGATTACATTCGAAAGCGGTATATAAAAGCTGACATTCAAGCCTGGCATCCAAAGCTACGTGCTATTCTGGATTACATTTTCTCCCAACGAAGCAGGCTGGCGTGCGTTCTTTCCCCAGCAAACGCTGGAGGGGAGCCAAGCGAGTCAGCTCAGAGGGTTCACTGCCGCCAGAGACACCAGCCAGCTCCTCCTCCAGCTGCGCAGCTTAGTCACAGACAGAGCCAAAGGGTCTGGCCCCATCTAACTGATTTTTCCTCATATACACTTAGTGGGATAAATTGCAGTGCTCTATTAGAGATTCTGCTCTTTTTACCACCTTGCTCTCTTCCCACAAGCCACCTTCTCTGAAACCCACGTGAATGTACTGTACTTTCCACTCACTTGAAACAACCTTCTTTAAAGGGCAATCAATCTGCTGAAAAAAAAATGCCAAATACTCGATTTCTTCATGTCGCCGTCAAAGGCTTAAAATGGATAATACGTATCCTCGGACTAGCGCTGTTTTGTTTTAATATGTACTCGTAACAATTTTAAGCTTACTGTCCCAAACCTAAAAAGCTCGATCTGGTGCATATATTTGTCACTCCGCTACAGATGCCACTCTGGAGTTGCATAAGTAATCACATCGGTGAAGACCGGTAACAGTGGGCTAAGGCACTTCCTCACATTTTAAGTACAGTTCTTAAGCCTCTCCAAAGCATCTCAAGGACTGAAACCAGATTTTCTGTGACCACTGTGGCCTGCGTAGGAGAGAGGCCAGTAGAGCATTCGCCTCTCCAAACACCGCTGTGGCTATCCCGTGTACTTGCACGGAGTAACTTTACCATCTAACGTATGCTAGGCTGCAATGAACCTTCCCGATAAGATTAACAAAGCAAAGTCCAGCGGTACTAATATGCCCAATGCAGATGCAGTATGGCATGATTAGTTACCTAAGGAAGATAGACAACTGTTATAAACCTGTTTCTTGATAACAATGCTGTTACTGCTAGTAACAGCAATCAATACACAGGAGAATAAAATAATTTTAAGTTTACAACATATTATTCCTTAACCAAACTCCTCCTCCTCACTTTTCCCCTTTCTTTAGGCAGGGAACACCATGCTTACAAAAGTCTTTTACATACGAGGATGGTCGGGCTTATTCTAACTGCAGTCATGTGTAGGATATTGAGAAATAAATATGAGCCTTGGCAACAATCACATGCTACTGCAAAGCATACAAGAACTCCGCTCTTGGCTGTACCCTGAGAAAACACAATTCACCTCACAGGACTAACACAGATGGGCTCAGCCCAGGCTCAGCCTGCCCACACAGTTCCCTGGCGAGAACGTTTCAGGTGAGATAGAGCTCGTTTAGCAAAGGCTCCTTGTGCAGGAGGTGCCAAACACCTTCCTTCCACAAGTGCCGGCCAGGCTGCTGTAAAGCAGTGCGGAGAGGTGCCCAGCTTGGATCGAGCCCTGTTTCCAGCTGCTCCTGCAGAGCCGGGGACACGGCTTCTGGCAGTTGGCAGTCTAACAGGGCGCAGCAGGAGCAACAAGCATCTGCTTTCTTGCTGCCCCTGGCTCCCTAATTTTGGGCTATCTGGTGCCTGTAAGAAAGTAGAATTTCCTGTCTGAGATGATAAAAAGTGGGAAAGGACCAGATAAAATTTCTTTCTGTATCCCCATGTCCTACTGGGGACAGGGGGCCTCTGCTTCCAGTAAGCATAGGAACAAGTGACTTTGTACAGAGATCCCAAAGTCCTAAAGCTCTGGAGTCTCTTGTGAAGAAATTCACTTACAGACAATAAAAATCAGGTCCTGGTCATACATGAATAATTTGTTAGATTTAGTTTTTAAAGTTATATTTATTTTTCCATGTTGACATGCATTTCATATGTGGGTAAAATATTTCCACTTATCTGCTAGAGGCTTTGAGGAAAAATATAAAGTATTGTCTCACAAAAATGTAGTCCTAATTTTTGTTTAGAGAGACTTTGTGGTTAGAATTTATTCATGTATCTTATAAAAGGCAAGTTCAAAACAGAGTTTAAGCCGGAAAGTTTCTGGGGAACATCAAAGAAGTTAATGCATTTGTTCTGCATGAGCTAGGGGAGAAGATTACCAGACTGTCTCTTATATCTGTATCAGGGCTATGCTGAAACACACAAAGAAGTTATTAATCCCTTTCTTAGAAAGGCAGAATAAAGCTGTTTCCTTGAGACAAGGAAACAAAACCCTTTGTAACAACTGTTATTCTCTTCCTATGAACATTTCTATTCTTAGCTGTTCCGTTTTGCTGTATCGTACTACAGTAAAAGAAATTCACATTTCTTTGCCACGACAACTGTGTAATAGCAAGCCCAGTGTGCCAGATGAATTCCAAAGGCTGCAGTGCATCAATATTTAAATCTTGTTACCACAAAGACAACAGCTCAGCACTTCTATGCTAAGTAGTCTGCATTAATTTATCGGCATATTCATTGTATAAAGGCCAATGCTGCACATAAATACAGGGCAAATTTCATTTTCTTAGCAGATTCCACGAGAACTGTGCAAAACCCGACATGCTGTAAACATTGATACCTTCACGCCTGTTCGTTCTGCGATCGCAGAGCTAACCTACAGGGCCACAGACCAAACGCCTTCATCACTGGGGCCATAAACTCTTTTGCGAGTAATACACATACAGAATTACATCTCGCAAAACTTGATGTGGATGTTCTAGCCTTTTGCAAGGCAGAGGAGTTCCTTCCTAAGTGCATTTTTACCTCAGAGAAGAGCTACAATATTAGCTACTAACTGTTGGGTTCTTGCCCACGTGAATCCTTCAGTCAATAATGACACCCTCGTACATGGCCTCTGGTCTGGCCACGATTCCTGCTACCCTCTAATGACCATAAAGCAGTGAGAAGGAAATTGCTGCACACAATATGAATGAGTGACCAGACTGCGCATCTGGCTCATTTCCTTCTCGCTTGAAACATTACCTAAATAGTCTCCATTTCTTCCCTCGTGTTATTTGAGTATGACTAATGGAAAAGTTTATTTTAAGAGTTGCTTTCACATATTTTGCATGGATATTTTTTTCTCCTCTCTACACTGACTGGTCTCCTCTTCCTTCTTTTTTAAATGCATTTTGCTTTATGGTAGCAGGAGGAATCTAGTTAGGATTACAGCCTGACACGAAATGAGTGTGAGTTTGAAAAAGCATGCCATCACATAAACCTATGGTACCATAGCTATAATGTAACTCTGGTTTCCCAAGTAAACCTCCTCAGTGTGGCTAGCTGATGACAGAGATTCTTGCTTTTTTTAAGGTAACAAGAATACGATGCAGGGACTTGTGTTCTACACTGGATCATATTTGCATACAGGCAGCTTAAGTCCTTAATCAAAACAGTATTTCCTTCATAAAGGAATGTAAGCACTAAAGGATTTTTTGAACATCCCAGTTTTGTAGTTTTTGTTCAAAGGAAATTATAATTTTTAATTATGAAACACTGTAATATGACAAGATATAGATAAGAAGCATTCTTTACTTCACAGACCTTTAGTTTTGGTCAAGATTTTGTCATAAACCTTGGTATAATTAGTTTTCTTCAGAAAGCCTTATCTTTCAGAATAATGTGATTACATGAGAAACAAGTCTTTTTTGGTCTTTTTTTTTTTTTAAAGAACAAACTTTGGAGACATATATTAGAGAGATAGTTTGTAATCTCTGCTGGCTCAGAAATAAGGCAGCAAATAGAGAGAAAACAAAATAATTAAAATCCCTGCAGGGTGGTTTTGGGTTTTTTTAAATATTATGTTCATAAAAAGTTTATTGCTTATCTTGACTGCATCTCATAGTACTGGATTTTTTAAATAGTTTGAATTTACGTATCAGTCAAGTTAGACCTCAAGTGTCATTGTAAGCAACGAACAAATACATGTGATTTACTGATTCCGTCTGACCTACTCTGCTGCCATTCAGGCAACTGGGTCTCACTGGGAAGTTCGGGGATGATCATTAACTAGCATTTCAGAGACAGCCTGTACTTCATCCTCTGCTACATAGGAGGTCTCTTATTAAAGTCATTTTAAATATTCTTCTGGAAGAATGAATTGGCATACATAGAGCTCAAGTCAAGCACTAGGAAGAGCTCAAAGAGGAGACACTGTGTTTGTTTTACTCAAGATTATAAAAAAAAAAATCTTAAAAGGAAAATTGCATGGATTCTTGGATCTAAGAATCTATTGCTGTTCTAACTGAAGTCAAAGGATAAGGGGAAAAAAGTTATTGTTAGATGTTATTTGGATAATGCCTTCCTTCTGGAGAAGAAACCGCCTTCATTTAACAGTATTTACAGATATTTCACCAAAGCCACAGCTAACTATAAGACTGTTAACTGAAGGAAACTAATTTTTTTGGATTACTTGGCATTGATTGTATAATATATTGACCAGCCTAAGTAACAGAGAGTGATCAATTCCGTAAATAAAGCCCCAAAAAATCTAATAAAATTGGGTCCTGATGCACAGCAATAAATTACACAGAAATTTCAGTACATGGAATGGCTTTTCACAAAGCTATAAAATTTTTAACTAAGTCCTATTTCAGCTGATTGTAGTGATTTGAAAGGCTTAGTAATTCATATTCAGGTTATGACAGATAAGAAGAGGACCTCAAAAAACCAAACTTACCACCTTTTTTTCCCATTCCTTATTAAGATCGTCCACATAGGAGAGAACAAAATCAATTCTCCTGACACCGTCCCTGAAGAAAATGGAATCTTTGCTTTCATGTCTTTTATCAATCTGTGGAAGATATAGGCATATGATTAAAAAAAACCCAAGTAGTGCTCTTGCTCTAAAATATAACAGAAGACAACAAAGTTTGCCCAAATTGCCTCAATTCTTCAGTTTCTTCATTGCTGAAGACATACTTGGGCAAGTTTTAACAAGGGTTATATCCAGTTAAAATAATTTCCAAATTAACTGCTTACATCCACAAACGCTACGTGGAAATAACTGGTATATGAAGAATACATATATATTAGTGTAGCAGTACTTGTGACAATGCTATCATTTACTCCTTCACAGTCTTTACAGTGTGTCATAAATGATCAAGACAAGTGTTATTTTACAGCATGATTTTTTTCTGCCATTAGATCAGAATGCCACTCTACACAAAAGCCAGCTAGGGCACAGTTCATCAACTTGAAGCAGGTAGCAAAAAGTAAATTCCATGCGTTGTCTTCTACATGACAAGATTCACTAAACCAGCCATCACAGAGAAATACATCCCAGTAACAACCATGTACAACAACAACACACAAACGATATGGGGGTTACGTTTCAAAATTGAGTACTTACATTTTATTAGATTTATTTTTCTTCCCAAGAAAGTATCAATGCAACAGGGTAATTAGTATTCCAACTGATTTATTCAAGGTGATATTTTAATTTATCAGCATGCCAGAATGTCGTAATAACAACATTCATCTTTTTCACTGATTAGGCCACAGCAATTAATGTTAAGCAAATAAAGACTATTACCTCACTCTCCTAGGGAAGTTAACATAATATTAGGTAATATTATTTATTATTGTATCAGGATTCAGCTCTACCAAATTCTTTACAAGACTAGAATTTCATACAGCAAAGTGCTCGCCATAGAAGCTCATATTCTGGTCTAAATTTAACTCCATGCTAAGGAAGGTTGGTGTTGGGTTTTTTAACTACACCCATCAGCAAAAGCGTATTCATGTAGAACCAAATTGGGGTTTCATTTTATTAGAGTAGGAACAAAAAAGAATAATTCAGAGGGTTATGACTCTGTCTTCTCGTTCTTAAACCATGCAAGGATGCATGTGAAAAAGTTCTCTGAGAAAGCACAGATTATTTGTAACTGTGCACCTTGCTCCCAGTTAACAAAAGGCATCACACAGTGAAGCATGTTATTACTGCAGCCATCCAAGCCACTTGCAATATCATTCATCACTGTTTTACCCTGAGACGTCGCTTCAGGAACAGCTTATATCTCCTTCCACTCTGCCGGAATAACCAACAAGTAGTTAGCAAGCCCACTGCTCCTCTCTGAGATCCAAACCAACTGCTTCAAGCACATACCCTGCCCCCAACTAAAGTTAGTGAGAAATTTGTGTCCTTAAGAAACCCAGGAAGCGCTTCCAACTATTAGAAAAACACAAGCACCCCCAAACAGGATGACTATAATGGTTTTTTTAAAGGCAAAGCTGTGCTGGCATCATTTTGATAATAAACTCAGGTAATTTAAAATAGTAACTCCTAAATTGCTAATTGCCATCATTTGGCTACTTTAAACAGACTTTAAAAAAAAGAACAATACAGTTTCTAGGAATGCAATGCCAAGGTCACAAAACAAGCGCTGGCTAACGAATAGAGGCCACTTTTCTCTTATGCTCACTGGGAAATAAAAAGACAAATGGCAACCACGTAATTCCAGAGCTGACAAAATTACAAGCAATAATATCCACATACTCCACGACATACAGTTATCTTCAAATAGGCTCAAATTTAATAATAATAAAAAAATTAATTAAACACCCCCTTTGTTCCATAGCGTTGCACAACTTTATGCGTCTTCACTAGATACAGTGGTAACTGCTGAAACCAGAGAGTAGCCTACTTGGCTGATCCATGCCTTCTGGAGAATTCCTGTATTTCCGAAGCCATCCTTGCCTTTGGGGAGCTACAAAACTCTATGTTGCAAATCAAAGTAACACAAAAAAGCTAAATGAAATTATTCCCTGAAAATGCTGCAATCCTCTCTTTGCCTTCCCTCTTCAGCAATCCTGTTGGCTTTTTTCTCTTCTTGAGAAACATTTACAGCATATCAATTAAAGTAGACTACTTTGTCAGAATTGAAATCAGGACAGCTACCTCAGAAAATGCTTTTGCTTACGAATGCAGTACATAATCATGCAAGAATAAGAAGCACACAAAAATCATGTAATCCAATACAAGAAAAGAAACAGCATTTTCCTATTCTATTTTGTGCTTACAGGATTGTTTTTTGTAAGTAGAATTGTGACTAGAAGCAAATTGCAACTGTGTAGATGTTTATTTGATTAGCACATAGAACCACACCACAACTACATAGCATCAGCAGTACTGTAACTATTCAGCATTACAGTAAGTGAACCCCAAAGTTCATTCTAACAACTTACAACGTTGGGAATTGGCCCAAAACTAGACCACTCCAACCACCAATTTAACAAGACAGAAATTGTGCGAGCACAGATGATATCCTTGTGAACTAACAAAATCCATATACACAAAGGAAAAAAAACCATACCAACAAACCAATAAATATTTACTTCAATAAAGCTCCTGCCAAAGGAGCATCCCAAATTCTTTGGGTAGCACAGTTATAATTATATAATTGAAGTAATACTTTATCTTTAGAGCCATCAAAGTTTGCTCATTTTCTAAGATGTATCAGAATCCCACTCAGTCATTAAAGGTCTGACTATCAATTTTAGAAGACATAGTAGTCATTGTTGGATCTGCTTTGAGAAGAGGAATACTTACCACTTCCCTCTCCTTCTGTACATAGGATTATTCATCACGGATAGTGACAGGCCTACTTAATCATCCCCTAAATTATTCCTTTCCATTTTGCTGCATTTGTATTTCACATGAAGAACAAGATCAGTCTTGCATATTCATGCAATTCTGTGCATACATCTGCACTTACAGGTTTAAAATCTATAAAATGTTATTAATTTGCATTGGTTGCATCAGTTAATCACAAAACATTACAGATTAGTACATCTTATTTCTTAACAGCTCTTTCCAGAACTGTATTCAAATAATTGATCTTAGACAACCTGCAGTTATTAAATGAAGTTACACCTCATCAGAGCAGATATTCTGTGACGTGTACCTTCTGGAACACAAGTAATCAAATTAAAATTTCCCAACGCAGCACAGATAGCAAGCAGAAGCTTTTACATAATTGAATAATACCCGATGAGGAATTACAGAAGAGATGGAGCCCCGAGGTACATGGTGAAAACTCAAGAAAACAAGTTGGAGCAAGGGAAATTTCTACTGGATGTGAGGGTGTGGTTGAGCAGGAGCAGGTACAACAGGTTGCCCAGACAGACTGTGTCATCTCCATCCTCAGAGATTACGCAGCATGACCAAGCAAGGTCCTGACTGAGCAACTTGACTCAAGTATGAAGTCGGCCTTGCCTTGAGTAGGAGCTTGGCCAAGGAGACCTTCGGAGGTCCCTTCCAATCCAAGTCACTGCACGATTCTACGAAATGGTGTTACTGTAAGTGTTTAGTGTTCATCAGTGCTTCCAAAAGTTGGATAAATCCATCAGTTACAAAGCAAGTTTACAAAAACTACTTGTTCAAAAACAAATACTACCTTCCTATTTTCTGTAGTAACTTTCCAATTTTAATAGTCTAATTATGTCTGTAAGAAATAAGTGACTTCATGGCCTGTGGTCAGATCTGCTAATTGAACGCTCTAACAGTCTGTCATAAAGAGCTAAATGTTTCTTGTAGCTACATAAGTGCAGACTTAATGAATTCATATGGAATTATATTAATATTCCTAGTTAAGTGTTAACTGCCTAGACATTCAGTGGAGGTCGGGGTATCGAACCATGTTCAGCCAAACAGCCCTCCAAGTACCCAGACTTGCAATCCCCACATTAGACACAAACTGAGCCCTGCAGTAGGAAATCCTGACTCAAACAGGACAGGTCACAGCAAAGGCCAGGATGTCAGCATGGAAATAAAAGCACAGCTCAAGACGAAGCAAGGCTCTAACACCCCACGTTCGGTTCTGCCCAAACGGGTTTGGGTAAAGCGTGTAAACACTGGCTGGCGGTCGCACGTTCAAATCCATCAAAACTCTCCCATGCTGCTAAATACTTGACGATCCTTGGCCACCCTGCTCCCACAGGTAGCTCAGATTTGCTTCTCCAGGGCCAAAGCAAACAAGCCAGTCACCGCGAACAGGAGAGGGGAAGCGAGCTGCTGGATGTGGCATGAACCACTTAAACATCGTAACAGAAAGTGCTTCAGAGAAACGACGTTGCATTGAAGCTGAAAAGACTGTGGTAAACGTTTCCGTGGCCTTGCTCAGCCACCAAAGCGGGCAGACAACTGACCTTGGTCAGTATAGTCTGCTACCCCTTGGGGGTTTACTGATATCATAGAAAGCAAGCACATTTTGCAGATTATGCCTGCATTATTTAATCCTGTATATTTTCACAGGACTCAGAGGGATTTCTATTTCTGGTCATTCACTGAACAGGAAATTTATGTCCTTACAGGCCACTTAGCACAGCTCTCCTTGTAGGCAACAGAGCTTCCTCCAAATACACCTTGCTACTACATATCCTAGCCCTCTCCACATCCATACTTCAAAGACCGAGGAACTTGGCTTCAAGCAATACTTTTCAAATTAATATTCAGTCAGAAAACTGCAAGTTTAAGGGCCTACACTCAGAAACACCCTTCCCAAATTCAGTTCCTCAGAGTTCAAGGTTTCACAGGTGTTCAACCTCGCAGAGCTGGGACTGCAGGTTCAGACCTCAGCATCTTCCACCCTCTGCTTCTTGTATCTCCGTGGGAAGGTGGTTTAGAGCAGAAATGTCAATAACAAAGCAATAACTCATCTAAAACGGAGGAACCCAATACATCAGCTTCATTAGAGTTACAGCACAGCGAAGGATCTCCAGCTATGAGTAACAGGTACGCTAAGAAGTTACGTTAATAACGTGATCCCCATCAGCACATCTAGGAGTTATACTATCACAGTCCTACATCACACGAAAACTGCCTGAAATTACAAAATAAAACTGATTTGCAATATTTTGCTTGCTTACGAGATATAGTCTACAGACTAAATATTTATTTTATTTACTGCATACCTTTGATAATCACTCAGGCAAATTAGCTTTTATCACAGACAGTGTAAAAAACCAAAATAACCACATTACAAAGCAATTAGTTAACTTACAAATTAACAATCCACTGCAGAAAAATTTTCAGAACACAGAAATGGACAAAATATAAGGGTTTGAAAGCTGAACCAAAATACAAGAAAAGCTTCCATAATTGACAGGGCAGAAAACATTCAATGGCCTAAAGACAAAATTATCACCGTCACTTAGATACCCAGTTTACACAGAATATTTATACACACCCACCCACCCCACCCCTTTTCACTGAATTAAACATGTTTACAGCTACAGGAATACTATGATAACATGCTGATTTAAGTGCCACTATGCTAAACATAACTGTTTGATAACAAGTATTTCAAAAAGCTCCTGGAAATGCATTTACACACCATATGCAAACATATAGGCTCTCTGTTGAAAATCAAAAAGGCAAATTCCTGATTTATGCACAGTAAACTCAGTTCCCATTATACCAGCGTAGCCCTTTGCATGAAGTTCTCTTCAATATCCTACCTTGGAGGACTCCACGCAACTGAAGTGCTTACCCACTTCAAAGAAGTGTGTTAACAACACACATCTCGATTTCCAGTTATGCTTCATGCAGGCTACAAAGTTGCATACAAAACTACAACCTTTCCCATTCAAAGAAACACAAAACGCCCACGTTTTTCTCGTGGCTAAAACTCGCAAGCTACTTTTTGCACCTTCATCACACGTGTTTCAATTTTGAACCACATTACAATCTGAAAGCTGGAAAACATGCATTTCAAAGCAGTTTAAGACACCAAGATATTTGCACTAAAATTTAAATGCACAGAAAAAGCCTCTCTTGGATAAAAGAGCACAGTAAACATGAATAGAACAAAGAAAAAATAAAAAAAAAATGCTAACAGAGCGTATGTGTTAATGTAAGACACCAGAGCCCAATGTAAGCAAGCAGACAGTTTTAATATACCTCAGCATGTACTTCTTCAGTTATCTTAAATGAGGTTTTGTAATTTTTTTTCTCCATAAAAGAATAACGGTTAAGTTTTCTGATATATTTGACAATTGATACAGTTATCTTGTCTGTGAATTTCAATAAGAAGATATTTTGACTCTTTCCTTATTACTACAATAAGAAAAAAAAAGGCAACACATTTCAAATGGTGTCAGTGTTTGTTTCTTGCTCTTTAAAACGTTTTAAAGTATCATGCTGACTCAGAGAGCCCTTCAGATTATTATGATAAAAAGGAATCCCCCATATGTTAATAACACCATAGTCAGAATATATCCTCTATCCCATCAAACCAAAACAATCATTAAAAAAGCAAACTTTCCAGTTTACTCCACCAATACTTTTCAATTTTGTCTGTCATCCTTTCGATTTGCTTGAATTTATCATTTAAGCCATCACTAGGAATAAACTAAAACATCACATTCATTTTTATACGCTAGAAAAACAATTCTTTTTGGAAGGATGGCTTCTTTGAAACTGGAAAATTTTCCGGTGAGGGACGTTTTGGCATACGGTAATAGAAGGACGCCACACAAATTCATGCAAGGAAGCATGAACATTGCTTACTGCTTACCACTTGATGTTCAGGGATGAGTAAAGTAGTCTCAGTGCTGTTTAGGCCCTGCCAGTGGCATCACGGGAAAAACATAATGTTGTTAGCAATGATGCAAAGGATGCTTTAAAATAAAAGGCTATTTCAGAAGAAACAGTGTAGCTTCTGCTTTAAGTTGCTGAAAAGCTGTTCTGAGAGATAGTTGGATTTTCAGGCTAAATAGTCAAAGTTTAAACAAACCTCTACTTCCTCTGATGAGCCCATATTGATTTTTAAATATAAAGAATAACAACTTTTAATAAAAGCTATACAGTATTCCTCAGCATTCCCATTACAAAAAATAAAGTCTAAACAACTTGACACAGATTACTGTTTACGAGCTGATAAAGAACAACAGTACTTTTTGCTGTTTTAATACTGAAGACAGAAAACGTACATAGCGCAGACGGCTGCACTCACATCAGAACAAGCGTGGCGCCCCTTACTTAGCTATTTTTTCAATACAGACTGAAATGACACCACGAGCACTGAATGAAAATAAATGCAGAGACGAATCATTAATCTCAGGGTAGACAAGGCAAATAGGTATCAGTAATTGTAATTGTTATGCCTAACGAGACTAGTGAGGGCTTCCAGCTTCCAGTTGTGACCCGCGCCTGGTGAGGCCCTACCCTGATTTTACTTGTACAAGACCTGGGTGCTCATCATTTTCCTGTACGTGGGTCTGCAGGGTGCTGCAACGTGCTCTGGCCAGACTCCCCGCAGGGGTGGGAGGAAGACCAACAGCAGAGGACTCTGCAGAGCACAGGTCTCCTCCGAAGACCCGTCCATAAGCTATCTGGGGTCCTGGCCCACGGCTGTAGGACTGCGTGAGCAAAGGATTTGGACATCAGGTTTCGCTATTGAATGAATACTAGTTTGCAATACCTAAGCTGTTTTGCAATATCTAATTCTCTTAGTCAGTAATTTCTCACGCTGTTCTGTTGTTTTGCTTCTGAAAACAAATCACAAACAGGTTTAAACAGTGAAACCAAATAGTGTGAGCACATTATAAAAATATGCCAGTTCTCTGTGGAATTAAATTAACTTTCAACAGAAGTAGAATGTTAACTTCATTTCATTATTGTATCATCATTTATTGGTTTAGAGTTGTAATATTTCAAAAAGTATATTTCCCAAAATCCAATTTTCATAAAGTACTGCCTATGATTTTTGAAATTAGAAATTAATATTTTTCACTTTTATTACAATTTTACTTGAGAGAAACCACACAGGTCCATTCCTATAATTCTGTGAAACAAACACGCTATTTTTGCTCCTGTTTACATTGCAAGTAATACATACACACATCTTTACATTCTTTCTTAATGATGTCATCTCTGAGTGTTTGCTCATCTAAGTAAGATAAAAATGTCCTTTTCAGAATTCAGTCCGATAAACACAGAAAGATCAATCTGTTTTTTGGCAAGGAACCCACATGAGAAACAGTGCAAATATAAATAGCTGCACCTAAGATAGTCTCAACTGGGTTTAGAAATCTAATCCTCATGTCATTGATGCTGCTGGAAAAACCTGCACTATTTGTAGAGGAGGGCTGAGACACTTAAGCAAAAGATTTTCTCCAATTATACACTGACAGTATCTGCCATGTAAAGTACTGTACAAATGTGACATCAATGAAAGCACAGCCTTGCTTTTCATCGCTGCCCTATGGCTCCTGACCTCTCCCTTGCACACCTGCCCCCATCCAAGTTGGTGCCCTCCCATCTGCTTCTCTTTCACCTCTCCATCCCGTACTCCTCCCACCCACAGCTTCCCACCTCCTCCATGATGAGATGTAAATTCATATTTTAGCCACCTGCTGATCCTCAGATGCTGCCCACCCTGCTCTACTCCGAGATAAAATTGTAATACATGTAGTGGAACGCTGAAGCGGGGGATGAAGACACACAGCTGGCAGAGTCCTTGGTACATTCCCATGCTCTTTGTGAAATGCTGTCCTGTTAATCTAGGGAACTTACCCGGCTCTCAATACAACTGCCTGAAATTAATTAGCTCCGTTCATGGAGGTTAAGTATTGTAAAATTGGTGATAGCCAACAAACCTTGTCCTGCACGTTTAAAGTGCAAGTACTCTTGTAGAGAGACACCACTTTTCATTATACGCCAAAGTCCATGTACAGCACAATGGGGCTTCAATCCTGACAACGGATCACCCCCAAAACAAGAACCAACCAGTGCCTTCAGAAACACTCAAGTAGTCCAACTTTGCCGAGATGGAAAGCAAGGCTAAAGAAGGACGGCAGTGATGGCAGCAGCGTTGGGCTGGTCCTTTGGAATCCACTCTCAGAGTCATAATAGTATTTTATGTTTCTCTCTAGATGAAAACCCACTGAACTGAAAAATGAACAAGTTTCTTCAGAAAAAAATCAATTCATTTGGAACACCTGCAGTGCCTGCTGCTCTCAAAAAAAAAAAGTAATCTGTGTCACATTTTGGTAAAATGCATTGCTTCGATACATTTGATGGAGCTCTGCCAATTTATTCCTGCTAACCTGGCTTAAGTAAAGACAGCTTGTTCCCAGGTTTTCTCACGATCAAGTTACAATATGGAAAATCCTGATTAACAGAAATTTTTAGTAAGCATTTCATTGGTGTGAAATTAACAGGAAAGGTGAACGTCTCATGGATAAGTGCAAAATTAATTCCTAGCTTCTCACAGCAAGAATAGGGCACAATCCTACAGCTTTACTCAGAGAGTAGTGCAGGCATCTGCCTTTTATGAGGGTGAAAAACTCAGCGTCCACACACACACAAAGCAAACATTGGTACTTTGTACTATTTAATTGGAATAGCAGACAGACAGATAGTCCTCCGTATATACCTCTTAGAGATGTCCACAAACTACAGACTAGTTAATGATTCAATCTTCTACAAAACCTGCACTAATTTTACATTTATCCCACTTGAATGGCCTAAAATTTTACTATCAGGAAATTTAATACAAATTCAATTTTTTAACCTTTCTTCCAATCTTGAATTAACCGATCTTCTTCCCTCTTAAGAACAGGAACTGTATTTTGTTAGTGGGCCTTACCCTCATTTACTTTGTAACTTGAACAACTAATTATAATCACTAAACAGAGATGCACCATGCTATCAAAACAAATTATGTCATTATATATATATTTTTCTAGTGCTTTTTCTGCACAAACATAAAGCACAGAGGAAAAACAGTGATTTCATTCACTTTTCCAATTTGCCTGAAAGGACTTTCAGAGGCATTGACGTATTTCTTGGAACGGGAACTCCGTAGAGGCTGACTCAGGTAGATTCTACACAGAGAGTCAATTAGGACAGTTGCCTATCCCTAACAGAAGTGGCTGTCTATCAATTAGTGATTTAACAATGACATAATTTGAAACAGACTCATTTGAAAATACCCCTAACATATCCTTTTTTTTTTCCTTTCCAGTCTGCTGTTTGCTGAAAATATCTCCTTACCTCCCCGCATGAGAAAGCGTCTAGAAATGATACATGCTATAAGGTTTGTAATATGAAAAGCTGTTGAACTCCGAGCGATCCTGTTTCTTTCATTCTTGTGCGAGATTAATGGAAGAAGAAAAATAAGGAGACTCAACAAGAAGCAGGTAAAAAAAAATAAAGAAAAAACCAAGGTAAAATAGGGAAGGAGGAATGGGTTAGAGCACAAATGCAAAATCACGAGGAAGAACCAAAAGCACCATTGATTGGATACTCAATTGCTTTGTGAGCCCTGGACTTCCTCTGACTTTTGTATTTATGTTGGCAGGCTTCACCACAGACTTTCTTTTCCACCTTCATTTTTGTTTTACTTGCAGCATTCCTTATGCACAAATCACACATTCCTTTACAGATTACAAAAGAAAAAAAAAATGCCACTGAATTATGGATAGGTAATGTTGTCTGCTCTCCATAGTAGGATCTAAGATTTCCCCCCCCCCCGTTGCTAAATCAACAATAAGGCTGCTGCTTTTTCTCGCTACTGCTGAGCAGAAGCATATTGTTGTTGCATGTTACGTTTCTTCTCTTCCAAAAGAAAAGACAGCCCAAGCATAATGAAGTTGTGACCTGAATGTAAATTCATTTAACTCTTTCCCAATTATCTTTTTATGAATGCATTCTGTTATACAATTACCTGACTTAAATTGTTTTAAGACTTCCAAGTGTTCATATTTTCCAACTGCAGAAACAAAGTTAAGTACAGGGTTAAATAACAAGAAAATTACCAACCTACCCCAGAGTAAAATTATTGAATAAAAAATGTGCTATGTGTCAAAACAAGAACAAAGCATGTTGACCTGAGATCAAAAGGGTCTTGGTGAAAAGAGGAAAAACCATGGCTTGTCTTCAATGCCAGGACAGATGACCCTGCTCAATTCCTGTGGGAATGCATCAAGGATGACAAAAGGCAGCCTAGCAAAGAACTGAGGAAAAAGAAATTCTTGCAGTTTATAGAGAAGAAAATTGAAGTTGTGACAACACAGGAAGATAAAGGATTAGCATGATATGGAAAAAAAAAAAAAAGAAAAAAAAATCAGAGCTATCTTATTGTTGGAATGAATTCATGGAAAAACTTTAAGGATAGACTTAACCTGAATATCTAGGACATTGATCATCAAGAACTAAATCTGTCATGGGTGATAAGAGCATGAAACTGGGCAAGAAGATTAAGAGTAACTTTGCAACTTTACATCTGGCTAATGCACAGAAAGCAAAAATCCGATAAATGAAGCTGTATTAGGGGACATGGGGTAGGATAACACAAAAGCACAGAAAAATACTAACTTAAATATAAGCAAGCATCAGATAACCAGCTGATCTGCAGAAATTAAGTATCCAAAGCCAAATAAGCTGTCTCTTCTTAGAAGGAGAGAGGAAAATAACAAAACAAAAACCCAGAGTCATCAAGTCAACTACAGACTAATGTTGCTAATATCACAATACTTTGTGATATTTAAGAACAAATCATGAAGAAAAATAATTATGTAAGGAACGTGCATAAGTAGAAAACAAGAGAAAAGGCAGCATGAAGTTACCAAGGAGAGATTTTTGAGACGGTAACCAGAAAAATTTTTCATAAGGAGACTACCTCCCAGAAAAGAAAGTGCTGAAGATCAAAGTCTCCTCTTCTACCCCATCATGAATCTTTCAGCCTTCAAGCAAGATTCAAATCCCATGTCTCTACATTTATAAGACATATATGTTGCACCCTTCCTCCCACATTTCCTCCCTTTTCCTATGTCCTAAGTCACAAAGTGAATTCTTTCAGGCTTTGGTGAAATAGGTCATCTCCACCTACTCAGAGAGACTCAAAAAGAACTCAGAATCAGCTTCAGACTGCGATGCTCATCATGATATGACAACTCATATGCTATAATTTGTGATCGTATCTGCCCAGAGTTCAGTGAAGTATTTGATAGGCTGTACACTGAAAATTTTCCTGCAGAAAAAGATTACTACAACTCCTACAACAGCTTAAGAAAGTAGCAGGGTGAACATACCCTCCATTTTTAAGATGCAACTGGTAGATTTATGAAAACATTTAGACGATACAGTTGCATTTGCTATCAAGATAAAGAACTGTGTAATCTAGGAAGCACTGCTGAGTTCTGTCTGCACGTGACCATCTCCAGATTTGCCCCTTAGAGGTAGGTGAGGACATGCTTTAAGAAGTTCAGCAGAACAGCTACAGTTTTTCAACACTCAATTCAATAGACATCATTTCTGAGCGCTCATGGCCAGTATGAGACTCTACATTGACAGAGCAACTATTTCTTTTCCTGTCTACAACTCTTCCTATCTTCCTCCAAGCATATAATAACCATAATAAAGAAATCAGACAAGAGCAATTACAATAAAATACCAATTTAAAGAATGCATATTTTCAATATTCTTTTTTAATCTGTTTCTTAACTGAATAGTAATCATACACCACTATCTATTTAAGCTATTGTGTACTGTACACATTAAGCAATGAGGTACTGTGGAAAAACGAATGGCTGATGATGCTATTTGGATTGCACATGTTGCAAGGAGGAGGTATTCTTATAATTCAAATCTTCATTTGCTTTCTCATAAATCTTGCTGCACTGTCAAAAAGTTCCTAGAGCAGAGGAGCAGAAGAGTGCCTTGATCTCCCTGTCAAGCCAGCGATATGATACGCAGCATAGAACAAAATGTTGGGTTTATGCAGAAGCATTATGTTTTTCCAATTGCCAAAACATTAAACGACCGTGTGATTCTCATTTCAAGACTGATACTGTAAACACCCTTAAGCCCGTACTGTTTTCTACTGTGTTGTAGCGCTAACGCTTCTAAGTCTCTCATGAGACTCAGTGTGTATCAGTGTTACTTTCATGGTTTTGCTCCTTCAGAACACTAGAGGAAGAAAATATTTACATGGATAAAAAAATGGAGGTATAAGACAATCTAAAAATAATATTACTTTTAAAACTAATTCTTTCTTTCACAGCAACCCTTCCTCTTTCTTCCTACCAGTAGCATGTTAACACCATCAGTACTGTACCTTACCTCAGAGCTGCTTGGGACTTCTGATCCTGTAGTTGAAATAGTTTCACATAAAGGTCCATTGCATTCTTCCCCTAAGGAAGATTGAAAGAAAGATTCACATAAATACGTTCCTTATTTTAAAATATGATTGTATCTGGAAATGAAGTGAACCTTGAAGGCATGGAACTATGAACAAGCAAAAGCTGGAAAATAATACTCAACTACATAAAATCTTCAAGAATGGTTCTCTGAAGGGAAAAAACACTGTGAGACACAATATACTCAGTCTGTACTACCTGGTTGTAACCTTGCAGTCACAGAAACACGTTTTTAAACGTGACAAAAAAAAAAAAAAAATCTCTCAGCATCACATATTTGATGAGATAAAATTCTTTCTTGTCTCCAATGTCTGATAGGCGACTGTCAATGAGAGTCTCACACGTGGAGCTTTGGTGCCTCAGTTATGAAAGTTATCTCTGGGGTTGCTTGCTAGAAATGGAATTATTTTTTTGTTGCTAAGGGATTAATGGTGCATAACCTCAAGATAACAGATGCCCACATAATGGAGATGTGATGACAGGATCAAGAATACTAATATCAACTTAAATGACCAAGCTGCTTCTTGGTTTTTTTGAGTTGTTTTTGGTTGTTTTTTTTTTTAAACTCAAAACAAACAAAAAAAGCGCCCAGCTTCATTTTAACAACAGTATTGAACTCTGACAGGACTTCCCTGCAAAAATAACCAGTCCATCAAGGAAACTGTTACTTAAATGTTTACACTGTGGGGAGTGGGGGGGGGAATTACATTGAATTCACACTCCTAAACCATACTGATACGTTTACTGGGCTTGCTGCTCTGAACCTACTCTGGACAGCAACTCAGAGCCCAGCTAGGCTCCTGCTTCAAGAAGTTTTTGTAAAGAACCATGTCTCCACTGGCTAGACAGACAGACCAGTCTCCTAAATCAGGCATCTAAATAACTCCACCACCAATGGAAAAGGATAAGCAATTTTGAAACAGCTCGCCACAATCTAGAGCAGGCATCTGATAAAGTTGCCTCTTTCTTAAAAAAAAAAAAAAAAAAAGATTCATCATATTCCTTTATTCATCAAACAGCAAGGAAGTACTGATGGGTATAGCTTAGACTGGACAGACACTGACTACCTCAGCTTAGACTGGACCACAGTCAGACAACTATAACTAGATTACTCCTACCAATTAAACCAACCTACTCTTTTTTAACTTGCAAATATTTGATGTCAAAATTGCACCCAGGCAGGATATAAACTGTTTTTTCTAAAGTCTGTAATAAGCTACTTAGACATAACTTGAGAACATTTTGTTTCCTCTATTTTTATTTTTTTTTCTTTTGTCTAAGTTAACCTACAGAAAACAGTACATATGATGTGATGAGAAACTGGGTAACAGTATATAAGAGTATATAACATATAATGAAGTTTCTGAATGCTAAGACATTCAAAGTTGTCACATGCTATTTTGCTAAAGCACACTATGCCTGCAAAATCTGTGTTGGCTGATATAATTCAAACACTTAAGTTATATTCATGCACCTGTAGAAAGATGTTTGCATATGCTGATACAAGTTGGGAGACCAGTATTAAGCCATCTCTAAAAAAGTTAACGTGGAAGTAAATTATTTGGGCTCATTCTGCCTACCCAAAAATATCATAAATGCTACAGGGACTACGCTGTAAGACAGACCACCAAACACAGAAAAGTTTTACAGGAACAGCTTCCGCACAGAACTGAATTCACTTCACCTCCCAACACGGCACAAGCGTTCAACATGTATAAGAAACAAATGAGACATAATGGGAGAATGTTACAATAAGGACAGAGAAGCCTTGACTCAAAAAACAGCTATCAAAATACTGAGATTAACGTACTTGAGAAACTGCTTCTGCAAGAATATTCCTAAGCAGGGGGTCTACCTTCATACAGGGCTGGCTCTAATAACATGAAGCTTGGCAGCTGCCCAGGACAGCAGACCACTGCCTGATGAAAACAGGGATCATCACAAGCATGCTCTGCTGCCTGCTCTGCCTGCAGCCCTGGGAAGCAGGCAGCTGCCGCAGCTTTGGCCAAAGGTAGCGAGCCCAGGAGCAGAAAGCCCAAACATGTGGTCACACAACCCTCCGTGGCAGAGGCAGCCTGGCACCTTGTCCCTGGAGCAGGAACATTCAATTTGCCTATGCTGCTGAGAGGACTTGAACCGATTCCACAGCCTGCAACAGCCTCGGTGTTTGTTTTTTCTGGATTAGCCTTTCTGTAGTTGTGAAGGTTTAACCTCAGGAACAAGCAGAGTTCTACATTTTAAATGCTCTCCCGGTAACATAGCTGATTACTTATGCAACTTGGGAAAGGAAATCCTCTTGGTATCTCTGATCCAGGGGAATAAAACCAAATAACCCTACTGCAGCACACAAGAAGGCAAAAAGACGATGCAAAACATATATTACTCGAGAAGTACAACATACTTAAGACATTCACACCTTGAAAAAACCCACATAAACAGGTGCCCAAGCAGTATAAGAAATGCACGTCCAAGTCATGTAGGAAGGTATAAAGGAGCTGCAACCCAGAACTGCAACAAGCACCAGGAATGGAGATGCCCAATTAGCTCTTACTCAAGAGAGCTACCCACAGATAGCTATAAATTGACTCATAAATCACATTGCAAAAAGCTTAGCTCATAGGTAACATCAGTGACTCATAAACTCAAGTCTGATTTCCAAGAGGCTCTCGGCAGGAAAAAAAAAAAAAAAAAAAAAAAAGGAAGGAGGACACACACAAAAGGGAGGAAGGCGTAACGCCGGTTAGTACAATACCTTCTGACCGTGATGGCTTGAACTTGGTGAGAATCGCAATGTTATCTTTAAAAGGAAAAAACACTTCGGTAAGAACCAGATGTAAAATCCACTTTTAACATGAACCCATTTAATAGTTCTCTGTCATTTACAATTTGGCCACTATATCCAAACAAAAGAACAAGCCCTGGAAACAAGAGACTCTGGCCTAGACAGAAAGCACGAGCAGGTTCCTCCTCAAACACCAACATTTCCCTTTTTGTCCAGGCACCTTATTCAGCAACACAAACAAGGATGCCACTGTCCTCTATCAGCAGCAAGGGGGACAATAATAGTTGAAGTAATAGTTTCTGCTAGCCAAGAAAATGCCTTTAAAATTCTTCAGAAAATTACAACTTCATATCTAAAGATGGAGTAAACCAATAATATTCTGATAAACCATCATAGTTAAGGGAATGGCCTTGTTCTTCAACACTACACACGGTGCTGTACGTAAAGAGCTCGAGAAACACCCCCACACCCAGAAGACCGAATGAGGACACCTACTAAACACCAGTGGCCCTTCAATACAAAATTCATTTGTACAAATTGCAGTCACTCCTTGCAATTTTTTTGTTCAAAATTAATCCCAGAACCACACTATGACTATCAGAACCCATTAAAATTGTTGCAAACATATATAATTTTAATATTTATTGAAATCATTGGACTTTCATGGGCAGGCACATATCCCATCAGAAAGAAATACCTCGTTCACAATGTAACCGTCGTCTCCAACAGCCTTATAGTTCTGCACACAGCTATTTCTAACTCCTTAAACATGTGTGTCCTGGGAGTTTGCACATTATTGGAAATAAGTGAGCTTCACATGGCCTATAATTTTGTAGTATTAACATAACTCTGTCCCAAACTACACCCTACCGCAGGGCAACCTAGTTATAAACTTTCGGTACGCCACCCCTAAGAATTACAGACCGTTGCTATTTCAATTACAGACCCAGATGATCAGACCAACAGTAATCCAAAACAGCACACAGAAATCAACACTCAGAACTGAAGACTGGAGAAGATAAGCAAGACCAATTTCACCTCTTAAAATGTAAGTACCACACAAAAAAAAGGTACTTCTTTTTGTGCAATGTTATGATTTCTGTAGCAAGCATGAAAAATTGGCTTATTGTGTAATGAAATGATTAGTCGTTCTACAATAGTTTAAGTTTGTTCACAGTGCCCGAATCACTTTCTTTTTCTACACGGCAAAACTGACATTTTAGGGGAAAAAAAAGAGGAATTTCATTCTGGACCCACTGGTTAAAAGAAGTGGTTCAATATGATTAATAGTTCAGGAATGAAGAAATTGTTCTTTAAAGCCTTTCTACGCATTCCACGATGAAAGACAAAAACACTCAGTGGCCTAGACACCAATGTTCTCATGGTTTTTCAAAGATGCTGCTTAGCTGCAATTTGCAGAATCAACACAAGCTATTCAAGCAGGACTGGCCGCCACATATTTAAAATCAGATCAATGGACGGGAGACCACACACACGACCTACCCACCCTTTATACAACAGCATGACAGCGGAAACTTCCCTGATGACTACAATGGTAATACAGGTTTTATGAGATTTAAAACTAAAGTCACCTGCAAGACAACAAGCAGCTCAAAATAAATTCTGTTTATTTTGACAAGTGCTGTTTAATTTCATTTAAAACATCTCATAGAACACAAGCAAGTGTATTCAGTGCTGTCAAAAAAAAAAGTCATGAAGCTGTTGTAAATCAAGGCCTCCCACAGCCCCCTATTTTCTGATAGCTGGGGTGAGGTAAGCGGCACGGCTCACCGATGCCACAGGACTCGTGATGTATCCCTCTGCACCAAAAATGAGCTGCACCTCCTCTGGGAGAACTGCAACCCGTCACAGGCCACGTCCTGATTACAACGTCTGTGCCTCCACTAGGTAAATAAAAGGTCCAGGACATGGGTCCAACCACAGGACTGCTCACTTGACTTAATTATTACTGCACTTAGCACACTACTATTAGTGGAAGAGTTTTGGCTTCTAGCACTCTCTCTGACAGAGGAGAAACACACCCTGGAGGACACCACAGGCCAAGTTCTGGTCTTTGGAGAAGTCTGTCGTGCTTGGGAAAGAAGGGACTGTAGCCGTATGGACGTGGCTGGACTTCGTTACTTGTCCTCTAGGCCAATGAAAAATTCTTGGCTTTTTTAATTACAAGCACAGGCACAGCCCGGGATGCTCT